CGCCCTCCCGCCCGCTCACGTGATAACATAATACGTTCCCGTCTTCGACGGGCGTATAAAAATTGAGCAAGATGCCATAAGCAGAGACAAAGGAAGGACTACTCATTCCAGCTCTGCATGTATATAATTGTAATGTTCAAACACCATAAAAAAAATTAAAAAAAAAGATTATTTCACACTTCCCATGTATAATCTATTGATAGGTTTAAAAGATTTTTTTCCCCCAAGTCCATCATTAATGGGAACTTTAAATCCTGAATAGAAAAAAATTACCATATATTCAATAAAAGGAATATTCAGCATAGCAAACAGTATATTGAAATTTATACACTTTTAGTAATCAGCTCAAAATATTCAAGGACATTGTGTGTTCCCTATATATGTATTAAAGAGCTAAACATAATTAAGGTGCAAGATATATATAGATATTAAAATTCTACAAAGTTTTTATAAAGCCTTATTTCCTTCCAAAACTACTGAAATTTAAACTAATACTGTGAACTTAATTAAAAGATATCATCAGACAGTGTACAATTTGAAAATAAAATACATACAAAATTGTTTATGAAATGTCACCTATAGCTATCATTTAGCAATACTAAACAGAATCAACACTTTTGACAAAATAATTCAGGATGATAAAACTTAACTGCTCAGGCAGAATTTCAATAGATCAACCTCTGATACATAGACATGAAAAAATAGCCTCCTTATTTCACTCAACCTTTCCCTTCACCATGAGCTCTCCTTGCAGACATTCATCAGCCATTTTGTGATTTTTGAATTTGGGGGTCAACTATATTTAGACAAGTTACAGAGGATCATGGGAATTCCTTATCTGTGGTGCACTTCTGGCGATATTCTGGTGACATTCTGGCGATATGAAATGTGTGCCAGAACATCACCAGACCGTCACCACTAGCGGCGATATTCTGTGCGCTTCTGGCAACATGTTCTGGCAAACTGATTTGTGTGCCACGATATCACCGCGATATTGATGCAAACTTTCTTTTCTGTAAGGGCAGATATTAAACCAACTACAAACCTATACCGACTGAACAATCTGTGTCATGCCCAATTTTCACAAATTTATGTTTCAGAATTCTTAACTTAAGGATATACAAGGCAAAGATTTCTAAAGAAATTAGCACTAGTCTACTGAACTTAATTTCCTCAACTTGACATTTTTACTGTAACTTCCCTATGCGAAAATTCAAGGATCGTTTGTGCAAAAAATGTGATTAGTTTAAATGTAAAAGATTTGAATGGAGATACTTGGCAAAGTATTGGGATGTTTTGAAAAATAGGGAAGATCTTAAAAATCCTTACAGTTAATTAAGTGCCTAGTGTAATAGCCACTAGGAATCAAAGGGGGTAAACAGACTGCTTTACTGGCAAGCTAGCTGAGCTCTTTTTAGGTTGGTCGGATGGCGCGGTAGCTATAGATAGCAAATTTGTCTTTCACCAAGGCAGCCGGGGTTCGATTCCCCGATCAGACGTGAAAAGGTATGCCCGACCATGTGGGTTTTTCTCCGGGCACTCCAGTTTCCTCCCACATGAAGAACCCACACGCTCTAAACATCCGTGCCAGCAAGAGTGTTTACTATGTTTTTTATTTTTTTACATAATTATACATGTACACTATATATATTTTTATACAGCTAGCTTTTTCAGCAATGCGGTACAACCCATAGACACACTCACTAGCTCAGCAACGTTGTCTTAATGGGAAATTAGCAAGAGGTCATAAACTTAAGAATCTTGGATACAACATATAGTTTATAGTGGAAGCTGATGCCTAATGTGTACACAGGCTGACAGAGTTGGGGAAATTGGTATAACAGAGATGGAGAGATTGGTATAACAGAGTTGGGAAAATTGGTATAACAGAGTTGGGGAAATTGGTATAACAGAGATGGGGAGATTGGTATAACAGAGTGGGGGAGATTGGTATAACAGAGTTGAGGAGATTGGTACAACAGAGTTTGGGAGATTGGTATAACAGAGTTGGAGAGATTGGTATAACAGAGTTGAGGAGATTGGTATAACAGAGTTGGGGAGATTGGTATAACAGAGTTGGGGAAATCGGTATAAAAGAATTGGTGAGATTGGTATAACTGTTTTGAAGAATGGGTGCTGAACAATTTGAGGACTGGGACCTTCTGACAAATTTTACTCAATGTTGGAGGATGACATATTAGAGAATATAGAGTATGACCAATTTGAGGATGTCAGTTGAGATCTGAGAGAGGTACGGGATGGGGACTGAACATTTCAGGATGGAAGATGACAGGTGAAATATGGGGGCTGACAAATTAGAGTGTTAATATAACAGAGTTGATGCGGTGATGTCTTACGATGTCGAGGGCTATAAAGAAGGATCAAGTTGATGGGTAGGACCTGTGGAGTTAAAGGATGGACAGGGCTGACAGAACAGATGGGATTGTAAAAGGTCACAAAATTCAAGATACAATGTAGGGTCCAACGAAGTGGAGGGAGACTGCTAGCTGCGGAGAACAACCGACACAGTAACAGTGAGTCTTACAGAGCTGAAGCGTTTGGTCTAGCCCCGTTTAAGATATCACTAACCAAGTTACAGTATACAGGGTTAAAACTTGGGGATGAGAAATGGGAGCTCATAAAGATAAGTAAGAACTTAAGAAGGGATGGCAAATTTATGTAGGGAATTGAAAGGTAGCAGAAAGAGGTAATCAGGTGGAAGCTTTGGTTTCAGTCAGATTGGAGCTGTGTGTCAAGGCTTCGGGGACGGCACTGGNGGGGGGGGGGGGGGGGGGGGGGGGGGGGCATGGTTGATGGGTGGCAGGGGACTTACAATGTTGATGAATAAGGTACATGTACCATTACAGGTTGGGTTTCACCAACTTATGATATAATATATAACTTGAAGGATGTCATGGGGAAAACTTCTGAGAATGGTTATATGCAGTTACTTACAAATCAGATCCATCTGTACAGTTCTTCTGTCTCAAATCCTTACAGAGGTATGCCGTCCCAAAGTTACCCTTCCCAAGTTTTTTAACAATTTCATATCGATTTGCTAAAACTCTGGGAGGTTGTTTCTTCTTCTTGGAGTTGTCAGACTTATACTGTGACATTGTCTCGATATTTATGTGTGTTTACATGAACCACGTAAACACGCCGAGTTGTGTGAAATATTCACCTGTGTTGTTGTACAAATGTCAACATTGAATCACCCTCATGACATCGACTTGGCATGGGTCATTTTGACACAATAACAAAGCCGACCCAAAGTTCATTCAGTAATTGGCACAATTATACGATCAAGTTTTCACATTTTAACCATTGAAAACAAACATATGTGTAAATATTGTTTTCATAACGTAGATGCATCGATCTCCTCATGAATTGCGTCAACAGCGATGACGTGAAGCAGTTGTTCTTTCAGACCATGGGACAGTGCCAATAGCTCCCATTGTCCGCCATATTGGCGTCTATCGTTACCAGGTCCGAACACACGGGGCAAAATTGAAGACTTTGTCAGTGTGTATTTTGCATTCATGGATGCATAATGTCTTTATCATTCATGATCCGGATCTTTGCAGCATGGCACGGGGTATATGTCATGTCTAAACTCCTATTTCTCCTACCGTAATACCTGCAAGCACCTGTCTTGGGGAATGGTGCATTGTGGGTAAAACTCACCTGCGCATTGCAAGTTCCGACATAAGTCCGGTTCGTTAATGAACCGTGACTAAGAAAATGTATAATTGTATTTCATAATTCTTTAATCAGATCAGCATACATAAAATAATTAAAGTAGATATCGAGCTGAAATGCATAAGTCTTGTGTTTATGACGAAAATATATTTATCAAGACATTTTGTAAGTGGTGCTTTTCAATTCTATTCAAAATAAATATGATATAGATAATGTTATTTTTAAGTGTGGTAAAAAGCAAATTGAGTTTCATCGTATTAAATACAGCAAGCGACTTGAGAGTAAGTTTAACAGTGTAATATAAAATGCACAAATATAAAATATTGCCTGATATTCAATATGAAATATCTTAATACGCGTAGATTTTTTTTTCATCGATCATGTAAACCCCTTAAAACATGTAAAATTACTCTGAACACGTACCTTAGTTTAGGTCTAAATAAAGCTGTAAAAATTCTCAGGTCCCTGTGATCAGCATGTACAGTTTCATAACCTTAGCTGAAGTAATTAGTTCAAAAATGACCTATATACGAAAAATAATTTAGGCATTACTAAGAACACAGAGGCCAAGTTCAGAGGTAGCCGCCTTGAATCAATCCACAAAACTAGTACTAAGTACTGCGATCGTAAATTACTGACCAAGTCAAAAACCTTACACACGTGCGTACAGACAAAAGTAGCACACTACTTCGTAGCGTGGCATAAAAATCATGTATCAAGGAAGTTGCAAAGAACGGTTAAAGATCCAGTCGAGTTAATGTATCAAGAAATCTACTTGGACCGGTTGGTTCAATTTTAAATCTATGCTCTTTGGAATGGTTTAAAAGTCGTGTTGGTGTGAAGCAAGTTAAACATTAGTTTAAGTTGGGTTTTTTTAAGTAAATTACAAGGAATGTTAAACACAACTCTAGTTTGTTTATCAAATAAGTTACCAGCAATGGTTTTACTTTAGTCTCTCATTCGAGTTGGTGTTTTCAAGACCGGCGAAGTTTAAATCACAAAACGTAGGTCGAGTTGCTGTATCATATATACATATAATATATTTCTAGGACTGGTATATAGATAAAGTAATAGCATGTATTTGTAGGAGAAATTCAGGTGCATAAAATGTCGAAAAGTGTTCAAAAGATTGAATTAATTATACATGTATATGTATGTTTGTGTCTAACCCCGAGTTACTGTTACTGCCCAAGCGATATTCAATAGAGCTCTACTCTTACCATTACCTATAATCAGAATCCAGTTGTAAAGGTAAGGTCACGATTCCGATCAAAAAAGACGACACATATTCCCTGAAAAGGAATTTAACGGAATCCACATTCATTAAGCTTGCGATCGTTTCAATTTAACCGTTTAAGGCTAAATACGAAGGACAACAATTTGTCAAATTAAAGCATTACTTGTGTAACGGAACTGGATTGATCGATCACCTGTTAAAGCCACGTGCACACGGTCTGGAGTTTGGAGGTCCCGGGATCGAATCCTGATCTGGCCGTACATTTTCCCTCTCCTGTTACAGTATAGTCTGTGACCAATCACTGTTTCAATTACTGAATGTAGGCTTGACAAGGGGGTTAGGCGACCAGGTTAATTTATACAGCGTCCGTCTAGAGTTAGGTGGTCCCGGTTTTTCATATAATGTTCGTTGTGCCTGTGTCGAACAGTTGCCAGGGGTTACACAAACCTGGTTTGTATGTAGTGTTTGAGGCGAAGACTTATAAAAGGTGGAAGGGGTGTAACAGAAGTATACTGCGTCTCCGGCGACCAGACAGAGCTTCCGACAAAAGAGTTCCGAGGTCCCACGCTCGAATTCCTGTTAGGCCGTGCATTTTCCCTCTGTTGTTTCACTAGTAAAAGAAACTAGCTTGAGCTACCTTGCAAATACATGCAGATAGACCAAGGTTACCATTGTCCTTATCAATGGTCAGCACATGTATGTGTATGCATCGCACCTCCATGCCGAAGAAAGGACAACCGAACAGCAAACCATTGGCACTTAGCACGGTGTACAAGGCACAGCACCAATGTCAAGGCGTCAGATACACGGAAGCAATGCGATGGTGGCAACCATCCAGCACTATCTAGCAATAGCGGTTCTAGACTAAAACATTAGTGTTACGTCAGCTACTTAGCAGGGGTTCAGATTGAATGTACAACTTATTTCGGTTACAACACTGACACCAGTCTTTCGTTTTCAATTTCACTGGTGGCATTCATAAGAACTCCAGAGCCTCTTTCCTACTGGAATGATGGCCACCATCGTGCTTATTTTCCAATAGCAGGAAATGAACGAGAACATTTATGAGTACAACGAACAGATTATTTGGACCAATGAGTTTCATCGTAAGTAAACTTTTTAGTATATATTTAGAAAGACTAAAACCTCAAAAGACGGTAATAATGGACATCAATTACTGAATGTATGATAATACACTGCAAAGGCGAATGCCACTCTTTGTCTGTATGCTGCACTTCAGCCTTGTGAACATTCTAGAAACTACCACTTTCTAAGTTATAGGATCCATGACATCCTCCCTCCCTAAGTTCCTAGTTACAATTAGGTTAACTAAAGCCAGAAATATTGCCAGAATGGCAGATTAATTCGTCCGTATACAACGAAATTTTCTGAATAGTTCTGTCTATAGTTTTTAAAGGAAGGGGCACAACTCCATTAATAGGGGAGGTAACTCCAATCAACCACAACCCATTGCTGCAAGGTTCTGCATGTAAACAATCATTAAATTCTGTGTTGTACTTTGGGCTGAGAAGTGCTAACAAACCTTTTACACAAGTATCTTTCAAATCAGTGAAGTACTTCCGTAGGAACAATGTAAACAACGGGACATACATTCATAAATTGGAAAGTAGCTCCAAAATTTATGTAATTATTCACATCCCCTCCATCTATTGTTATGTGAACAAACTTTTATTCTAATCTGTGCAGTACTTCGGAAGGAGTAATGCAAATAATGTTTTTAAACAATAGGGTGTAACTCCATAAATTGTGGAAATAATGATTTATATACTTATTTAGTACCAAGTATCAATCAGATCATTACAGTACTTTGTTTATGAGAAATGACACTTCATTGTAGCGATACTTTGGTATGAGAAATGAGATGTCACTCAAAACTTTAGTGCTGTAGATAAATTTTATCAATGAAGAGTGACTTTTCACATGACACTAGTGGTAGTCATGTCTTGTAAATAAGAAGACACTTCAGGTGAAGCTTTAGCGAGATATTATCCATTAGAAATGATACTTTACACAACACTGCAGTTGTGTAGAAATATCTTAGGAGAAATATCAATTCACATGACATTGCAGTTGATAAATTAACACATGGTGTTAATATCCCTCGTAATGAAAAATAACACTATTTTATATATCAGCTTTCATCACAAATTTATTGTTCTCATAATGTATGTATATAAACACTGAATCATATTTGTTGAAAGTTTATCATTAATCAATGTAAGATGCAGAGGGAGAGAGGGAGAATGGTACTACATTGAAACCTGTTTAAAACAACCTCTCTATAAACTGAGCAGGGTTAACATAAAACCTGTCTTCAATGACATCTGTATAACCTGACCAGTGTCCTTAATTTGTATTTAACAAAAATAACCAACTACAATGACCCGTGTACAAACTGATACCTGGCTTTGAATTTGACAGATAAAACCTGCCTACAATGACCCTTATATAAACTGACCAGTATACATTTTTTTTCTATTTGACAGATAATGTCTCCACGACGGGGTCTTCGTATATAACAGATAAATTCAAGCATGAATTGAATAAGAAAGGTTGATTGGAAACAGACTTCAGTGCAGTCCTCCTCACTGTACGATTACAGCAATATAAAATAAATACAGGGTCAACAAAAACCATCAAATCAATGTGATAAACTCTTGTGTATACAGAGAAAGGCCATGACTTCACTTTCGGTAACAAAATTGTCTAGCCTATTCCTTTCACGTAAGAATCAAATAAATCTACAGGTATTTGAATATGACATCTGTAGCAAAGTGATGATACAAGTTTTCTAAAAATTAAAGCAAGATAATAATCAGTCTGGTTATAATGCTTTAAAATATTTCCAATCATATATTATGATAATCACATTAGCAACCTGTTTTTATACTTCCAATCTCACCAGTTGCATATCTGTAACTGAAAGCTGTCTTTCTGATGATGATGATGATCCCATATACACATAAGAGACTGTTTTTCAACTTTATCGTGTGAAGGAATCACATGCTCTCTCAATTAATAAACAAGGATGAAGTCTTAAATATTTCTACCAAACAAAAAATTATGATTTCCACCGGAAAATAACAGTGGACCCAATCTTAATGCATGTGTGGCTAGATCCCCAACTCATCGAATGGACCATACTGACAGGAAATCAAGTTTCCTGCAAAACGTTGTATACAAATCATGACATTGAAGCTCTATATGGTTTACACAATTGAAGAAAATAGAAAAAATCTGCCAGATTCCTTGATGAAAATGAGAAAGCAAAGCTACTGAGGAGTAGACTTGTAGACAGTCACACGATGGATTAGTAGTGTTAGTTACAGTATTATGTTAAATATTGCAAGGATATGTACAGTTCCAGATGTCCACTCTTCCAAGATCTCTGGCAAAGACGTCATGGACAGAATAGACCATATCTAGTATGTACAAATTTGTTACCATCACAGTGATCAATAAATCTCGACACCCACACACTTTCACTGAATATTCATCACATTTCCTTTGAATATTTATGACATTCATGCTAAACATATACACTGAATATTCATGTCAAAAACCCTAGGTGAATATTCATGACACACATATATAAAAAGGCTGTTCAGTTATGATTCTCACGCACAGGTCATTAACAATTAAAACAAAGGGGACATCATCTATCAAAACCTCTAGTCCAGAATTCACTTTTATAAACTACCACTCTGCAAATGAATGTTCCTTAATGAGGAACATAAAATCAGGGATTTTACCGATCCTACTGATACATAGTGTTATTCAACTGGATGATCAGCAGTTGTGTCCAACCAAATGTGAGAGAAATATGTATTTTCCTTTTGAAGCTCTTCAAAAGAAATACAAAGTAATTGGCAACAGCCTGGTGGTCTGGCTCAAGTTTCAGCTGTACCTATTTTAGAACCTGTAGCTGCTGCTATCACTACTACCTAACTGTTTATATAACATACTACAAACCTACCCAATGAATAATTCAACACTGATCAGTTAACTCCCAATTTTCAACAATTATTCTCATTTAATGTGTCAGTAATATATAAGCTGGCCCAGATACTATATAGCCTAGGGCATTAATGTATTTAAATTGTATTACCCACACATGTATCTGTTCTGCATGTTTGTTGTTATCTGTTCTGCATGTTTGTTGTTACTTGTACACAATGTTTCAGCGTAGATTGCTGTCATCTCTCTATGAAGTATTCATACTGCCTACAAATAGGAAGTGAACAAATAATTGTTTGCCTGCACTTTCTGATATCACTAAAATACCTTATATACAGATATATTTAGTGACAGTGTGTCACCGTGTGGTTTTTCTGGGATGGAGGGGTGTGGTGATAGAAGATGTCCTCTCTAGCTACAACCTAACTGTTTAACAGTGCGTACAACATACACTCTTCCATACCAAAGGAAAATAACTTAGCATATTAAAAAACAAAATCAACACATTCATGCAGACTCGCATCTTCCCAAGCAGTCATTAATTTCAAACTTTCAAAGTTTTGCGTTGTGATAATCAATTACATCTTCTTTCATTCAAAAATATCTGTCGCAGATGAGTGATTCAACATATAAAATTATCCTACATCTACAATTAGGCATTTACAAATATCATCCAAGGGAGAAAAAAATCAAATAATTCTTAGTTAAATAACAGTGGAACTTACCTTTATAAAAATAACTCAAGCTCCAAAACAATTTTTACTGAAAATTATCACTGTACTAATGTTTATAATAAGGCATTAATTCTTATTCCAAACAATTTGGCAACATTGCATGAGTCTAGGCTAAATAACTATCAGTGAGACATCAGAATGACATTTTCTGTGTAATTAAAATTGAAGAATATTGTATAAAAGTAACACATTTATTGGCCCTACTAGATTCTCCTTGTATCCTGGTCGACACATTTCAGTTCTTAACTACATGTCTCTGAAGCCTTACTTGACATTTCTTGAATCATAAAACGACACATTTCAGTTCTTACTAGTTATGTCTATTAGGTCATACTGTCAAGTCAAACTAGGGCTGCTTGTGCGTATCCAGTTCAACTGTTTCAATTGGCTGCACCTGAATGAAAACAAGAAGAACAGATCTGGACTGAGGCTGACCTCTGTCAAGGGGTCCAGACGCTCCTCGCCGAAACTATAAGGTTGACTATTGCTGGTTTGCAGTATTTTTACATAAATAATGTCAATTCACACATATATTTCCAGGATATGATGTAAAATTGAACATGAAGGTGAAAGGACCTCACATAATTCCTGATTTATTGTTCCTTATTTGTCATAAAAACTCTGCCTATAAGGTCGGCTCAGTTCTGGCCAAAGAGCCATCTGAATCATTTCAACTGGGATACTTGTTTGTTTGTTTGAGTGGTTTTAAGTCCGCTTCACTTCCAAGTAGTTCAGTTATCCAGCAGACGTTAACTGGGATACACAAAAGCAACCTAGCTATGTCTCGGTGGCCCTACTAGACACGTCTAGCATCATATTATGTCTCTCAGGCTGTATTACACACACATGGGGGTGATATCAGACGCATCCCCAATGAAACTAGACACATTTCTCAGGCAATACTAATGTTTCTTGACTTATACTAGACATGTCTATAATGTCAATGGAGTTCTAAAGTTCTTAAATGATCAGATATGAATTAAAACTGTGGAGAAATACCCCCTGAATCCATTATCAGGATATACAGAACATGCTCATGATATTGAAATAAAATCTCAAAAAGTTGATAATAAAACAAACAAGGCGACTCACTCAGACAAAATAACAGAATCAACAATATATATATATATATTTGCAACATATTTTGTCCTGTGTACAAATCACAGTTGTTATAATATACAAAACAGAAACGGGAATTAAATTGCAGGTTATTTGCTAAAACTGAAAGGGAGGTAACTACAAAACTTACAGTTCTGCCTCACATATGGGAGGTAATGGTGAACATTACAAGATGGAATTTCATTTAATCAAGATGTTTCCAATAAATGTAATTCCTTGAATAGAGACACTGATAAAATATGTATTAACTTCCGGTCTAGGATTCAACAAATACAATTATAGATATACAGGTGTGAAATTGTGTTTTCTATTTTAAAGTATATTTATCCTTCTTCTATAAGAAATAGGAAGCAGAAGCATAACTGATTTTAGACTTTCTATGTATTTGAGATCTACAGATAAAAGCAAAATTATCTTGACCTTAATTATGGACTTGTACATACAGTATAAATTATAAATTGATGAGTCATATATTTGATTTTTTTCCTGGAATAATTTTGCAGGTTTAAATTAAACCTTTGAAATGCAAATAGTACACAGTTATAAAAGATTTCATTTGTCTTAATAGACTAAGATATAAAGGCAAAACAGAACTGTACATTTGAGAAAATGGGTAGGGAAAAACAAAAAATCAACATGACACTTACGCCACAGGGATTTGCCAGATTTGCCTGTGTGTATGTGCCTGGACATGAAAGCCCACTGTACTCTATAAAACCTTCTGTATAACGGTAATATACCGCATGCTATACTAACACAGAATCAACGATACACAAAACTGTCCTCACCTTAACACATCATTAATTCTTATTGTCCAACATCTCAATACAAAAATAGTATTCAATCATTATTTCACAGTTGTTCTCATTTCACTCATCATCAACTTCATTATCCCAGACTGAATCAGAAATCCTTGTGTTTTTCTGGTCATGCAAATGTTCCTTTAATTTTTGATACCACAATTGTAGGTGCTTGTACAAGTATCTTAATGTTAGAGAGGTGATCAAAATTCTTTTCCCACAGTGCAATATTTTTTGACTCATGTGAATGGTTAAAAGATTTATTTTTATAAAGTAAATGTTTTTGCATAATATCAATTTCTGTAAAAGTGTAAATGATATTTTAAATTATTTTGCTTTTCACAATAATAGAATTTTTTGAAAAAGTTCCACTGTAACATCATGATCACCATGTGGCCTTATCACTATTTCCTTCCTCAAACATCTGTTACCATAGCAAGGTAGGTTTATTACAAACCAGCACTCCTCACTTAACAAGTGACACATTTTCTCCATCACAATTCCTGCAACATCATTGAATTTGCTTCTAAAGGTAACTTTAACTCCATAAATGGTAGTATTTTGAGATGTACCATTCTGATGTAACATTTCTTCCCTCAGTGAAAGCCTGGGATATTCCTCTGTTCGTAAGTGATCCACTGTTGTCACCTTGATCCATGTTGAAAGGTTCCCATTTAAATTCTCCAAAAAATAATTCAAAATTCAAATTCCAGATTCTGTAGAAGAATGATATAAGAGAAAGAGGCTGTTTTTGAGCAAATATAGATGATGTGTGTCCTGCATAGAATATTCCCTACTGCTGATCAGAGTGACCCAATAACACCTTCACCCTCACACATGGATTTCAGTACCTGCCCTTCACAGATAATTCTACAGACACTCAGTACAAGAGAGGTGCTTCACAAAGGATTCAGTACAGTTTTGGTATACTTAGTGTTGGTATATAGGAACGATTCATTTACTTCATTCTCACTCAGAAATAAAAAGAGTTTTTTGTTACAATTTTTATGTACAAATATGTCCATTACAGGTTCCTTTATCACCAGTTGTTATTTGTCAACCAAACATTATTCTTGTCCAAAACCTTCTGTTTCCTCGATTGCCATTGTCAATTTTTCCACTAACTGTTCGTAGGTCCTGTACGGGGGTAAATCTAGCCGGTTAAAACAGGTGTGACTGCGCGGCAGCCAGGTCTCCTTGCCTACTTTCTCTATACAGAATCGCTGAGGACCGTTGCTTCCTGTAAAGAACCAAGTCAAAAAGGCATAAACAGAAATTCTGAGGGCAAAAAAACATATGAAACAAAGAACAAATACACTGATAGGATATACTTCAAATTCAAGTTTGCCTGCTTCCATGTCCGTTATTCACTAAACAAAACACAAAATGAGTAATTGAAAACTTGGAAACTTGGAAAAATAAAGCAATACTCAATTAGCTTTCTCACAACTTCCTCCTGTTTAATATATATCAACATTTATAATTCTTTTTCAAAATACATTTTGTTTACATTATCCCTAGCAAAGTGTATAAATATATACACAAACATACCCATCAACTCGGCGAACCCTCCAACTGGCAAACGACACGTGCCAGTGACAAACTGCATCAGTCTTGTACGTTTCTCATTGTCTATTTCTCTCACAAACTGAAACAGAACAACAAAGCATGTGTTACCTCCCTTAGATTGGCTAGCCAATGTAACTTAACAATGGCTATGCTTGAAGCTCATTCTGAGATAACATTTTTCCTGTTGTAGGAAGATTTTATTACATCCTCATCACAAAAAACATTTTTTATATGATCTATCCATCTTTCCAGTTTGGAACATTTGCCCTGTATTAAACTTGCCTCCTTACTACATTTTAACAGTCCAAAGGGGAAACAACTTCTTGTCTTACCTTCCAGAACCAGACAACTTGTTTGGAGTTTCTCTGATAATGTCTGTAAATAGTATTTCTCTCCCAATCATCCACATCCACCTCCTGCATACCACACAGCATCAACTGAAAATAGGATTATATATAAGATATATAAACATAATATAATCAAATTCCAACTATATATATCATGACATGTAATGTTTATACTCCAACACACTTATTCAAGACATGGATAATTTTCAAAATGATATTGAAGCAATGCCTCTAGTTTTATATATATTTCCATTGTAAAGAAAAGGATGGTACATGTGGCTAGACTTTACCTCAAGCTCCCTCTCGTCAAAGTACTGGAGCCATTGGAGAGGCACCACCTCGCTGAAGCCATCCAGGAAAGCCTTAGTCTGGTCCTCAACCCCTCGCTGGAATCGCCAGTTGGTCATCAGGCTGCAACAGAGGTCAAAGTTTAAACCAGTCCATGATCACAGTTTCAATGATAAATATAAAAGGTTTACCAAGCAAAGGTTTGACAGATACACCCATTTTAACACGGTTCAGTTCTGATTACTATTCAATGTTAATTCAGTGGGTTCTGTTGTAGATTTTTTTGGACAAAAAATCCTTAACATAAAAAATTCAAGTAAGAAACTAATTGATGAAGCAAAAGTAGTTTTAGAGGGTGATAACTTTGATATTATTAGCGGTAGTGAGGGAGAGACAACCTCTGAGCATGACATACAACTTTGGAGCAAAGCATGTAACCTTGTATCCTTTGATGGAGGAGTGACCTACTTGATATACTCCTCCTTGTTTTCCTCAGTGACCCGGATGTCGGCCCCACCCTCTTTCAGATCATGCTGCTCAATCTTGCCCAACACCTCAAAATCGGCGCTGAAGAACAGCTCGAGGCCACATTCATCTATGTTGTTGTCCCTGCAAACGCACACATCATAAATAACACAAACACACATGTCAGGTTAGTCATGATGCATTTTTTATTAAATCTATAATGAATAAAATAAGTTTGTTACAAATCTTTATCAAAAATCAAAATTTTGTGTTTCTTTCTATCTTTTGCTACATAATAAGAACTTGTCGGAGATCCTGTATTGTTTCAATTGATTTTTCTATATAATAAGAACTTGTCGGAGATCCTGTATTGTTTCAATTGATTTTTCTATATAATAAGAACTTGTCCGAGATCCTGTATCGTTTCAATTGATTTTGCTACCTAATAAGAACTTGTCGGAGATCCTGTATTATTTCAATTGATTTTTCTATATAATAAGAACTTGTCGGAGATCCTGTATTATTTCAATTGATTTTTCTATATAATAGGAACTTGTCGGAGATCCTGTATTGTTTCAATTGATTTTTCTATATAATAAGAACTTGTCGGAGATCCTGTATTTTTTCAATTGATTTTTCTATATAATAAGAACTTGCCGGAGATCCTGTATTGTTTCAATTGATTTTTCTTTATAATAAGAACTTGTCGGAGATCCTGTATTGTTTCAATTGATTTTTTTATATAATAAGAACTTGTCGGAGATCCTGTATCTTTTCAATTGATTTTTCTATATAATAAGAACTTGTCGGAGATCCTGTATCGTTTCAATTGATTTTTCTATATCATAAGAACTTGTCCGAGATCCTGTATCTTTTCAATTGATTTTTCTATATAATAAGAACTTGTCTAAGATCCTCTATCACTGCGATTGATTGACAACCATATAAGGTACACTCTCGAGTGTAAGACCTATACTTACTGGATCCAGGTAAGGGAGTTAAAGAACTCGGGGTCTATTGTCTCAATATCAGTCAGGTGGAGTTTCTTGTTCAACATTCTCTTATAGAATGGCAGCGTGAAGCCACTGTCGATGAACTTCCCATGGTACAGGGCCTACAACATCAAGTCATTTGCTCACTCTTCATGATCAATAAGGGACTACTAACTTATTCACCCCTGAAATTTCAAAATGAACTATTCCAACCTTTTGAAGAGTTCAAATGTGTCTTCAGGGGTGAATGAGTTACCGGTAATACATTTTAGAGCGACTGCTCCAATACTTCTAGGTCACAACAGGTAAAAGCAAACTAAACTACAACAATAACTTGATATTTCATGAAAGTGTAAAAGGAAAAATACTAATGCAATAGTGAAATTTTCATGAGACGCTAACTAAATGTCTTAAGAGTTACTTTAGTATTTGTATTTCTTCAAAATCTTTAAATCAGTGCCAAAATTTCAAACATTTTACATCCACAATCAAAACATGGAAAGAACAAAATTATTACTTATATTTATCATCAATGTTGTATTCTGAATGTCATTTACTCACCATGGCAATGAATCGTCCGATAAATCTAAAGTATACGAGGTGGTCGGGGTTGACATTGGAGGCAGCGTTTATCTGTAAGCTGTAGTTACTATGGCTGGCATACTCAAACAAGCAGTACATGGGATTCAGCACGTCGTGGGATAGATGGAAAAACCACTCCCTGTACAATACAATGATCAATTCAGGTATACACACACAAAATACCACACCACAGTAATGCATTTGACTAGTAAGATTTGCACATTTTTATTTGTTTACCAAAATCTAATGTAAAGTGATTTTTGAGAAGCTTTAATATTTATCGGTTTGGTTACATGTATTATAACCAATTTGGATATCCAAAATCATTCAGCATTAAATGTCTTTCTCACAGACACTTATGTGACAATACATATATTATGTCACCTAACAGAATGTTCAAGTATTACTTCACATTATAATATAGAGGGTGATTCACATAACAGAATATACTATTTTCTTTCTGTGTTTTGTATGGCAAAATTCAGGAAAAAATTCATTCCTTATGATCACCTTGAGATTCTGACGAATGCGAAAGATCTGACACAGGAATAATTAACTGATCTACTGGGAAATTACCTGGCCACACCCCCATAATCCAGTCCTTCTTCTCCTTTGAAAATTATATAAAGTCTTCTCCTCAGGTCATAGGGCTGTAGCCTCATAATCTACAACATAAAAACACCATGTTGATATTAAATTTCCTAAAAAAAAGTTTCAATATGCATACTGTACATAGATCTGACTATTTGTCATTTTATAATATATATACCTCGTTTTGTACTATGTCAGTTAATTTCTCAATTAGTAAGCAATACTTTCACAAAGTAAAAATTCAAATGATACCACTATAACCAGGATCTTCTGACCCACAGTCAGATTATGTATTCTTATGTGATTATATAATTGTATACCTATATGTGTATCATTACTTTAAGAGTTTTACTAAAGGTATAAATGTTAGGGTGTAGAGCAACCTATTCCGTCTTTGCGTATTGCAGAGTTGTCTTCTCTTGTGAGCAGGTATTGATTGTTACGTCATTGGTTTGTGTGAGAAAATTACGTCGTTTTCTCAAAAGTTGATGACGTTAATCTCACACACCAATGACGTAACAATCAATACCTGCTCTCAAGAGAAGATAACTCTGCAATACCCAAAGACGGAATAACACCTTGTAATGCTATGTGAATAAATATTGGAATAATTCTTTTAAATGTGAATAATTTATAGTACAACACGACATTAAGAAGAATGTAAGAAGCAGACTTGTCTATTACTAATGAAATGACTTCAATGTAGATTCCTAGTTTTATTGCTGCCATCATACCTGTGCAAAAGAGTCCTCAAACAAGTTGTCCCTGGACACAGTAATTTTAACATGTCCAGACAGAGCATTGGAGGAACAGAGGTATCGGAACTGTCCCAACTTCCACCGGAAACTTCTCTCGTACTGTATTGGTACTCCAAATGCACCCTTGGGACTGAAATACAAGACATCCACCATTAATACAAAGAAATGCAAAATGTCACATTTCTAGTAATCTTGTCCTCAGCTGCAATCAGGCCTGGAAAATAGCTTACTTTATTTTCAAACAATGTAAACATAATATAATTACAAATGCTTCTTTCTGGAATGTTTCTATCAAAAAATATAGGATTACAGTGCAAGAATAGCACCATCCAGATCTATAAAAGGATGTTTACACTGTATTCTATGGTGACAGGAAACACTGAATTGCACTTTTCTTGAAATAATCTTTACATTATGGAGGTTTATCACATGATAAAGTCAAATGGGGTGGTAGAGGTAAGTCATATTTTTATATTGTCTTCAAAGTATTTCCAAAGCTATCCATTTAAAACGAGTGTTAGAGGGCATGAACTGCTGGCATTAATTCTACCATTCTATGGCTACTTACATAATCAAACCTTGTACTTTCCCATCCTTGCCAACTCTATTTTGAGAGACTCCTGATTTTAGATCCTAATATCAAACATTTTCAACCACCTAATTTGCTAAACTATATTCAAAGACCTAATAATTTGACAACTCAAAATAACTTTTTATGTTTTTTATTTTGAGCACACAGAATCTACCCATGGATTTTCAAAAGGTTGGTAAGTAGGTAGGTAGGCTTTTTCCCACCAAGACAATACATAGCAGAAAGAAGTTATCTCACTCACTGAAAATACCCTATTTAAGAATGAAACTAGAAAAGTCTGTGAGACAGGTCCCTTTTCTCATGCAAATTTTGGTTACAGCTCAACTATTTTTCATAACCTCATACTTGGCCTATTTACATGCAGAATCAACAACACTTATCAAGATGGGACTGGATGGAATGTAATAGGTAACACTATATACCCCTATAAATGGAGGGGGCATATCAAATGTCTACTTACATTTTAGACATATTTCAATTCATTGAAAACAAACATAATGTGCATGTTTGCTTCACTTTCGACACATTTCTAGAGGCTTTAAAAAAGAGAAGCTATACTGGCAATAATAGAGACTTATCAGTTATTATCTCTAAATCAACACTGCTGCAATGACTGGGATACAAATTCTGTCAAACTACTTATGGATGGATAATCTAGTTATCAAACAACAGCGTAATTGTTTATAAATACATATTCTATTGCTCAAGACAGCAGCGTAATTATTTATCAAACCGATTTACTCCTATGAAATATATATTGCTTTCTTTGAGGCAATATTGGACAATACAAGAATTTCATATATAACCATCTTGTATCACATAACACTATTGATTTCTGATATATTACCCAACGAAATAATATTTTAAGATGTCTATGCAATATAACACAGAAGTAGTCAAAGTGCCATAGATATGTAGTAGTCAAATTTGACGAATCAGAGCGACAATTACAGAATATAAGTCAGACAGTTGAATCTCGGACAGAAGAACACTCACTTCCTTTCCTTAACACACGAGAGCAACATTCCCATACTCCCACATCTCTGATACACTGGCCATCAGGCGAGTGATACACCCTCCATCCTACAGTTAATGTTTCAACAAACATACAATACAGACAGACCTACGTAATTATTTCAGTTGACTTGAAATGACTTCTTTGGGTTTTTTATGGAGTATGGCAGAAAATTACAATGTGCTGTGGTAGATCAATTTGATTAGTACCGCTTTATGCTGTATAATAGTCAGGCAAGCTCCATCCCCCCCCCCCCCCCCACCCCCAGTTCCTTTAAAAGGATATTACTGATGATATTACGACAGCAATTTCTACAGTGACATACATGGGGATTGCCGCCTTGGCGCCTGGTATTTGGTACATTGATTATGTGGGGAGATAGAGACTTCGCATTACATGACTCAATTTGGTGTGAGATCACAACAGTATCAATGTACGAGTCAGTCCTAACCTATAAACTGTACCAAACCATCATCTTTCACACCATCATCATGACCACTCGAGAGCTCACAAATCCCCGGACTCATCCCTACAAACAAATCATACAGGACTAATCCCTACAAACAAATCATACAGGCCTAATCCCTAAAACAAACCATACAGGACTAATCCATACAAACAAATCATACCGGACTAATCTCTACAAACAAATCATCCAGGACTACTCTCTACAAACAAATCACACAGGACTAATCCCTACGAACAAGTCATACAGGACTAATGTCTACAAAGAAATCATACAGGACTAAGCTCTACAAACAAATCACACAGGACTAATCCCTACGAACAAGTCATACAGGACTAATGTCTACAAAGAAATCATACAGGACTAAGCTCTACAAACAAATCATTCAGGACTAATCCCTACGAACAAGTCATACAGGACTAATGTCTACAAAGAAATCATACAGGCCTAATCCCTAAAAACAAACCATCCAGGACTAATCCCTACGAACAAGTCATACAGGACTAATGTCTACAAAGAAATCATACAGGACTAATCTCTACAAACAAATCATACAGGACTAATGTCTACAAAGAAATCATACAGGACTAATCCCTAAAACAAATCATACAGGACTAATCCCTACAAACAAATCATACAGGACTAATCTCTACAAACAAATCATACAGGCAAGTGACTGGACAAATTTCGGATGAGGACATATCACTAGACAGATAACAGGACAAACGATAAATCATATGACGATCACGTAGAGGCTTGTGACAGTGAAGTCATCACAACATTTTACCAAAGTTTACCAAAGTTCATCTGTCACCAGATTTGTCTTATGGCCCTTATTTTGGACAAACTATTTAAAATCTGAACTTATTGCCCTAGACTTTTAGTAATCGTGTAGCCAGGTCCGGCATTATCATGTAAAACACTCCAAGCTAGTTAAAAGGCATTCAAAGAGAAAACAGATACATTAATTCACAACATAATTAAATAGCCATTAAATATCTAACCTGCACCAATCCCTTTTGCAGGGAAATGAAAAGACACAGGCAAACTTTATGAGATGAGTAAATGTGTCATAAATATTGATGATTTAAAACATCGCCACTAGATACTTCTAGATTTGTCCTCAGTTTCAGTGAATAACAGCCTGCCAGGTTACTGTGATAAAACACTAAGCTGCTTACATTATCCATAACCTACCCCTGTCTTTAGGAAATAGCCTTAGGGTATATCAAATATATATCACTTAATATAAAAGATATAAAGCCACCAAAAGAAATCAACATTAGTTGGAGAATTTCCACTGACATAAATAAAATCCATTTGTTTGGTAAAAGGGACAGATAAAGCTTCCATTAACATAATCATTCATAATAATCTGTCATGATTGTGACTAATTATAACTTCGAAAACAAAACACTACAATGAAAATTTCAATTAACAAATGGGCAGTCAGTCATCTGTCAATTGTATTGATACAATGTAACTGGCACTCTTGGTCATGGCAACACCCAAATATTGACACCGACACGCACGAAGGCACACATGATCAGCACACTATTTTTTCCCAATTGCAACTATTGGTACACGAAGTCTTTCTCCGGCAGTACAACACTTATACACACATTGGCTATATATACATTAATTTACAAAATTTAGGAGTAAATGCACATCCAATTTTTTTTTAATCCTAGATACACTAACCTACATTTATTTTAACATTAAATATATCAAAACATGTAAATATGATATCGTAATTTTAAAAAACACAACTTTCTTTAAATCAATTGAACTTTAAAACTTGTACAAGATGGGTTATCTGATTTAAGCTAACAATGCTTTCTCCAATACAATACAGGTAAGTAAGCTTGTACCAGCTCAGGTGCGACAGCCTTAAAATACAACATGTCCTAGATAATGCCCTTGTTTGTACAGCCTATTGGATTATATGACAGGCCTAGTTGGACTGGCAGTGCGTTCTATGATCAATACTCACCCACCTATATACACTGTGTGGTATACCACCTGTACATTGAAGCCTCCATAGCTCAGTGGTTAGAGCACTGGTCTTGTAAACCAGGGGTCGTGAGTTCGATCCTCACTGGGGGCTCTATAAATTTTCTCGTTTTTTATTTTTACTTTTCAACTTACTACCACAGTTTGTCTTCTATACACAGACACTTTCAAAAGTGATTTGTGTTACTATGAACTCAATGTATTAATTATATTGCTTCAATAGATTCTGGGCATAACCTTAACAGTGACTTAGTTATTGATCCAACAATAAATGACATCGGAGACATCCTCCGTATCAAGGAACAGGCCGAACAGTACAACTTGAAAATACAGTTGAAAGCAAGAACCAATCTAAGTCAAAACCCTTACTGTTAATGGGTGTATTGTTCCTCTCAAAAATAAATAAAAACATTGAAAAATTGAAAACCCCCATTTATATGCAAATTCACAAATTTCATGAATATGCTATTAATAAATCCAACAATCAGGAGGAATTTTAATATACAGCAATTTTCATTATATGATACTTGCCATATTTAGTATCACTTCAGTATGCATATAATCAGTACCTACACCTATCTATGTAGGGTGCCTTCCTTCCCCAATGATACTATAATCCCAATGAATCAAATCTTGTTTGACATCATTTCCTCTGAACCACTTGGCTACCAAAGATGAATATGATTAGGGAGAATTAGGAGGCCCCCATTGCATGATCGTAAGAGGCGACTACATTTGGGATCTTATCTTTTCTCTTCTATCTAAAAAACTTTATTCTTCCTTAATGTCTCCCTTGACAAAGCCTTACTTTTGGCCTTTAGTTGAGCGTTCGCCCCTGTGAGGAAGGCTTTGGGTTCTGTCCCCTGGCAGAGACATACCAGAGTCTGTAAAAAGGTAGTTTCTACTCCTGCTTAACGCTCAGCAATATAGGAGTAGGACGACTGGTTCGCCAGTTGTCAGTATAATGTGACCGCATGGGGTGTCCTGCTGAGTGTCTTCGGCAGTATGTTTCAGCGTGGTAGCACTATAAATTCGGCATCAGTTCCGTGCTATCGTAAGGAGACAAACACGAACATATCGCAGCCTCCCAAAACACACACGCATACACTACACACATGCATCTTGCACACAGGGGAAGCCATCCTTAAATGAACAATACTAACTAAACCAAACCAAAGCCTCAATAATAGACCCTTCAGATTGACAACAGATCAGGGTATGAAAAACAACAGACTAAAGTAGATTTGACTTAACCCAGTGACCCTGATCTTTGGTCAGTTGACTTATTCTTTAATTCCGACCAACTTTGCTTCATAATATCATAACAAAATGTTCATCAATGAAAAATACAAAACTTGACCTTGACCCTTTGGACCCCGTAACCTGGACCTAAGGTCAGTTGACTCTGTGTTAAGTTCTGAACAAGTTTGCTACATAATAACATAAAATGACCTTGACTTTAAGTCAGTTGACTCCTTTTAAAATTCGGACCAACTTTGCTTCATAATGTCATAACAAAATGTTCATCAGTGAAAAGATAAAAAATTTGACCTTGACCTTTGACCAAGTGACCTTGCCCTTTGGTCAAATGACTCCTTGTTTAATTCCCACAAACATTGCTTCAAAGTGTCATAATGAAATGTTCACCAGCAAAAAAATACTAAATTTTACCTTGACCTTTAACCGAGTGACCTTGACCTTAGGGCAGTTGACTCTTTGTTAAGTTCTGACCAATTTTGCTTCATAAAGTCATAGCGAAATGTTCATCAGGGAAAAGATACAAAATTTGATCATGACCTTTGACCCAGTGACCTTGACCTTTGGTCAATTGACTCCTTGTTTTATTCTGAGCAACATTGTTTCAAAGTGTCATAACAAAATGTTCACCAGTGAAAAGATACAAAATTTAACCTTGACCTTTGACCCAATGACCTTTACATTTGGTCAGGTTGACTCCTTGGTTAATTCTGATCAACTTTGCTTCATCATGTCATAACAAAATGTTCATCAGTGAAAAGATGCAAAATTTGACCTTGACCTTTGAATCTAATGACCACCTTTGACCTCAGTGTCTCTTTGTTTAATTCCGATCAACTTTGCTTCATAATGTCATAAAATGCTCATTAGTGAAAAGCTACAAAATTTGACCTTGACCCCTGACCCGATGACCTTGACTTTTGGTCAGTTGACTCCTTGTTTAATTCTGAGCAACATTGCTTCAAAGTGTCATACCAAAATGTTCACCAGTGAAAAGATACAAAATTTAACCTCGACCTTTGACCCAATGACCTTGACATTTGGTTAGGTTGACTCCTTGTTTAATTCTGATCAACTTTGCTTCATCATGTCATAATAAAATGTTCATCAGTGAAAAGATGCAAAATTTGACCTTGACCTTTGAACCTAATGACTTTGACCTTTAACCTTGACTTTTTACCTCAATGTGTATTTTTGTGAACTGAACATCTTGAGTAAGTTTCATGTACATCGGTCAATAAAACCAAAGTTATCAGCCAGGAACAAAATTTGTGGACGGACAGACAGAGAGAGAGATTACTCTAGGGCACCCGTATCTCTGATACGGGGCCGTAATGATATGTTGCTGTATAATTGATCAGATGGCATCATCAATCTCATGAAATATTTGTGATTTTAGCCAGGCATTAAGCTGGAGCAAGAGACTTGGGTAGTAAGTATGTACTGTGAAGTTTTATCTCAATCTGGTGATTCCTTTAAAAGATATCATCTAGAATTCATCAGCAAATCAGATTGCATCACTCATTTATAGATATGCATGATTTTTACTGAGCATGAAACTTGAGAGATAGGTTTTGGTAAAAAGTATAAGAAACAATTTTCATGAAAATCAGAAAATTTCTTCTAAAGACTTTATCTGAAAACCATCAGCTAATCAGATGGCAGCAGTCTAATTCGAACATGCACAAATTTTGCAGAGCTTCAAAATTTTGTGGATTGACTTGGGTAGCAAGTACAAATGCAACTTTTATCAAAATTTGATAATTTTGTCCTGAAATGTATCTGTACAAATTCCACAGCCACTGAAAGTTTTTGAATTTAGGATTCAACTCAAACTAAAGAACTTGTAGAGATTTCATGAAAATCAAAAGATTCCTTTACGAGTTATCTTACTTGTGACCATACATTTTCAGATCCAGTTCAATATCAATTTTGAGAGAGATTAAAACCAATTTAAGTATTTGTATGCCGCGTGGAGAACTTTATGAGAATGCTGATGGAATGTTCCCTATATGTCATCTTTACTATGCAAGTGACACAAATACACGATGAAACACAAGCATATGCTGATGTGATAGATTATATATTTGCAAATTTTGTCAAAATCCATCTTATACTTCAGAAGTTGAAAACATTAGCCAAACTGCATTGGACATGAATCGTAAATTTTAGTTGGTCCGCTATATCAATTGTGTAGAGCCACAACAAGTGTCCAGAAAGTTTTTACCATTATTACGCAGTAGAAAATGTTCTGTGTCAAAGCACAATGGTCAGAATTCCTGGGCATTCAGGGATAGCATAGAGTGATTGGAATAGGCATAAAGACCTTATATTATTGTCTATTCGATCCTTATGTAGTAAACTATTGACCTGAAGATAAAGTTTAAAACTAGAGAAAACAAACATACAGTAATATTATGGTTGATTAGGTTTTGCACTGCCATATTCATTTAGTTAATTTAAAATACTTTCACTCTATTTTCCAATTTTCGTTTTATTGATCTAAAAATCATGATCTATGGAAAAAGTTTCAGCAAGTATAATATGTACCTGGGGCACTACCAGGTAAATCACTAAGGCACAGGAGTAGATGGCTTCAAATGTTGGTGCCTAAGTGGTTCTAGGATGGAAAACAGTAGTTTGATGAAATATAATCCCTAATGAATTGTTCACTTTGTACTGAATTAATTTATGTGGCCTGAACGGTCAGACTGGGTGTACGGAATGTCAAAACACTTTAATACATGGACGTATTTCAATGCAATTCAATAAGATTAAAATGAATTATAAAATTTAACATGAAATGGATAAGAAATGTGTTCCTGTCTAACTTTTTATTTATTGCATGACATAGTGCAGATATGGTAAAGTAAACATTTTTTCTTCGGGTTAGCTAAACTTTTCTTGTTTACCTGATCGAATGTTCTGTTAACAATTTAAAGTTTGGCACGCACTGTAAGACTGAACAATATTTTGTTTTGCTTATCAAAATGAAAGGCTGTCCCTCTCTTAAAAGCAGTGGAAACAACAAGGCAGGAGCACATGCACAGGTATATATATCATTTCATTATAAACAGCAGACATTTACAAGGTAATTAAATTTGCAGATGACTTTTCCCTGAAATCCAATGAGAAAACAGTCCCTTGCTTCACAAGAAATAAACACAAGACAGCAACTCACCCTTTGGATGGTCCTCCTCTTGGATCCTGGAATGTAGTAGATTTTGTTTTATGATCCACAAAGTAACGGACACCTTCTGCTGTATACCTCATCTCCCAGCCCTCTGGTAGGGGGTCTTCCTGGACGATGCTGAAACAAATATACAAACAGTTGTTACTTTGACCAGATATTGTACCTTTGTGTGTCAATTATCCATAGGTACAAGTATATTATAATATGTTTCTTAATTTCTGGGTATGTTTATACAGTATGAAAAACAAGCGTAATACAATAGCAAATATCTTTGTAATAAAACATCAAACACCTGAACAGAAGCTGTTTGAAATACATTAAGATATTTTTAATGTATGAAATCATACAAGACAACATGTCTCTGTGACATCACTCACCCCTGTGTCCGGGGATCCTCCCACTGTGTTGTTCTGTTTTTATGATTCACAAAGTACACTCGACTGTTAGCATCCACTCGCTTCTCTGTAACAGATGTACAAGGTATAGGCCACACAACCACCATGATACTTAGACATACACATTTTATCAGCAGAGTATTCTGTACAATTTCCAGGCTTTGTGATTAAATGAAAGGAAGCAAGAGAATAAATGAATCCATTTGATGATACATTATAAGGCCGAAGTATATTAAGGCACCTTCAACACAGGCGTAAAGAAATAATCCTTAAGCCAAATTAACCTTCATTTAATGAACAATTTGGTGACTTTTCCCCCTACTTCTACAATTAGGTGTAACTTACCCCAGCCTTCTGGGAGTGGTCCCAGGGGGTCGTTCTCCTGGGTGACTTGTGCTGGGTTGGGGAACAGGAAACGGTTCTGCAGTTGCTCCAGGGCTATAGAGCGGTTGTTACGCCACTCTTGCCACTGCTGGTAGTTGTTAACCATGTCTATATTTGGGCGTTGCCATGTGGTCGTGCGAGTGTTATGATCAACATAGTACACCCTGCCCCGGGGGTCTACCCTCCTCTCCCAGCCTGGCGGCAGAGCCTGAGGCCGCTCCCATGTTGTGGTGCGTGTATTGTGGTCCACATAATACGGCCGCGAGTGTCCGTCTGTTCTCATCTCCCATCTGTAATACAAACACTTGTTAATACCAACATTTGTGTAGACATGGTGAACATCCTCTTTTTCTTTCACAAATCTATTCTATTGAAATAATTCTATTTCAGTTATACATGAATCTTAGTTTTTCATCTGATCACTCACTAGATTTGACCCAACAAAGCACTGTTGGACAAGCCATAAAAGGCATATAAAGATATACTTTCGACAATGCAAACTGTAAGTGTATTGCATAGAACATGACTGCAGACAATGAAATGCTTACCCAGGGGGAAGTGGTTCGTTGCTTGGCTCCTGGTCTACGGGAGGCGTTCCTGGCGGAGGACCCACTGGTGTAGGGCCTCCTGCTGAAGGTGTAGAGGATGCAACCCCTGCGGCCCCTGACCCTGAGGTTGCATTGGGAACAACCCCATTTTGTTGTGAGGTTGGTGTGGGGGCCGTGGTGTTACCACCTGTTCAGAGACATCAGTTAGAAGGTAACTCAAATAACAACACAACAGGTCCTTATTTCTAAATCTTTAAATAAAAAGTTCAAACTCAGATTTGGGAGGTATACCCTAATCCCAGACAGTTTTGATTTCAAAGTTACATTGGAGTGGAATTTCCCAATGTATTGATAAGCTATGTAATTAATGCAGGCTGTTTCTCCAAATGTGTTTTTTATGATAATTCATTTTATCAAACATGAGAAACTTTACAGACAGTGGTATTTTAAGTGACAGTTTGCTGCAACTTTTATTTAATATAAACATGTATACCGACTAATTATAAGAATTTTTGAAACTCACTAAACATTACAATGCTAACATTCTTCCTTTGTCAAGTTGCTATGAGGTCTAAAGTTTGAACATCTCAACTCAGACAGGATAGAAAATAACAGAAAGATAGCCCTATATTATGATCATGCATCCCTAGCTAGCAAAGCGAGATCGCTTGGATTCCAAACATGCATTCAAGATTTAGTTTCGGTGGCACATAGTTAAACAAGTGAGATGAAAATGCAGCCAATGTTACCTGAGGGATAGCTTGGAGGTGAGGTTGTACCTATAACTGCTCTTCTATTAGGATCTACAATGACAAATCTCCTCCATAAGGTACAAAATAATATATCTCTTAAAGCTATAGGAAATCTCCTCCATAAGGTACAAAATAATATATCTCTTAAAGCTATAGGAAATCTCCTCCATAAGGTACAAAATAATATATCTCTTAAAGCTTTAGGTATAGGAAATCTCCTCCGTCAGCACCCTTGATACTCCAGGGGTTATACGCTCACATACACTGCACTCCTGGGATGGGGTTATACGCTCACATACACTGCACTCCTGGTATTGGGTTATACGCTCACATACACTGCACTCCCGGGATGGGGTTATACGCTCACATACACTGTACTACTGGGATGGGGTTATATGCTCACATACACTGCACTATTGGGATGGGGTTATACGTTCACATACACTGCACTCCTGGGATGGGGTTAGACGCTCACATACACTGCACTCCTGGGATGGGGTTAGACGCTCACATACACTGCACTACTGGGATGGGGATATACGCTCACATACACTGCACTACTGGGAAGGGGTTATACGCTCACATACACTGCACTCCTGGTATTGGGTTATACGCTCACATACACTGCACTCCTGGTATTGGGTTATACGCTCACATACACTGCACTCCTGGTATTGGGTTATACGCTCACATACACTGCACTCCAGGGATGGGGTTATACGCTCACATACCCTGCACTACTGGGATGGGGTTATACATTCACATACACCGCACTCCTGGGATGGGGTTATACGCTCACGTACACTGCATTACTGGGATGGGGTTATATGCTCACATACACTGCACTCCTGGGATGGGGGTATACGCTCACATACACTGCACTCCTGGGATGGCGTTATACGCTCACATAGACTGCACTACTGGGATGGGGTTATACGCTCCCATACACTGCACTCCTGGGATGGGGTTATACACTCACATACACTGCGCTCCTGGGATGGGGTTATACGCTCACATAAACTGCCCTCCTGGGATGGGGTTATACGCTCACATATACTGCACTCCTGGGATGGGGTTATACGCTCACGTACACTGCATTACTGGGATGGGGTTATATGCTCACATACACTGCACTCCTGGGATGGGGGTATACGCTCTCATACACTGCACTACTGGGATGGGGTTATACACTCACATACACTGCACTCCTGGGATGGGGTTAGACGCTCACATACACTGCACTCCTGGGATGGCGTTATACGCTCACATAGACTGCACTACTGGGATGGGGTTATACGCTCCCATACACTGCACTCCTGGGATGGGGTTATACACTCAAATACACTGCACTACTGGGATGGGGTTATAAATTCACATACACTGCACTCCTGGGATGGGGTTAGACGCTCACATACACTGCACTACTGGGATGGGGCTATACGCTCACATACACTGCACTCCTGGGATGGGGATATACGCTCACATACACTGCACTACTGGGAAGGGGTTATACGCTCACATACACTGCACTCCTGGTATTGGGTTATACGCTCACATACACTGCACTCCTCGGATGGGGTTATACGCTCACATACACTGCACGACTGGGATGGGGTCATACGCTCACATACACTGCACTCCAGGGATGGGGTTATACGCTCACATACCCTGCACTACTGGGATGGGGTTATACATTCACATACACTGGACTACTGGGATGGGTTTATACGCTCACATACACTGCACTACTGGGTTGGGGTTATACGCTCACATACACTGCACTCCTGGTATTGGGTTATACGCTCACATACACTGCACTCCTGGTATTGGGTTATACGCTCACATACACTGCACTCCCGGGATGGGGTTATACGCTCACATACACTGCGCTCCTGGGATGGGGTTATACGCTCACATACCCTGCACTACTGGGATGGGGTTATACACTCACATACACTGCACTACTGGGATGGGGATATACGCTCACATACACTGCACTACTGGGCTGGGGTTATACGCTCACATACACTGCACTCCTCGGATGGGGTTATACGCTCACATACACTGCACGACTGGGATGGGGTCATACGCTCACATACACTGCACTCCAGGGATGGGGTTATACGCTCACATACCCTGCACTACTGGGATGGGGTTATACGCTCCCATACACTGCACTCCTGGGATGGGGTTATACATTAACATACACTGCACACCTGGGATGGGGTTATACGCTCACATACACTGCACTCCTGGGATATGTCATGATGAAATTGAAGGCTCTTCTGTACGTGCCATTTTTGGTGAATAATACAAGTTAGACTATTCCAAATATTTTTTATGAATTGTGCAGAAGTGTAACGGTAAAACTGACAGGCAATGATGTCTAGTGTCGCTCCTCTGTAATCTTTAAAGGACTGGTATCAATCTAGCGATTGGTCAGGGTTTTTTATACCCGAGACCAATCAAATAGCTAGCAGCCTGCCTTCAACTTTGCTAAAACATTTTCCAGTGGTGCAGAGAGTGTGAGCGAGCGTCAGCCCTGGAGTATCGAGGACGCTCCATCCGGTACTGATGACTCCATCTACTTGTACAGTAAATCTCCTTCCTTGGGTACAATTATCTACAAACCTACATGAATAGTAAATCGACTAGCATTTTTTTTCATTTTTTTCTTCTGTTTCTTTAAATTTGAGCGAATATCTCATTCCCCTAACTGGCCACTGGACACAGATGATGATAGTTAACTCATTCACCCCTGAAGACGCATTTGAACTCTTCCAATTCAAAGGTTGGAATAGTTCATTAGTTCAGGGGTGAATGAGTTAAAGTTGATTAGTGACATATCAGGTTAGCATGCTTGTTACACATCAGGTAATGTTACAAGATATTGTATGAATGGTATTAGTTCAGGCACAAATGAAGTCTTTACATCAGGCAGACCTTGATAATCAGCAAATCTTGACAAATTTTGAAACAATGTTCATTAAATGTCACTGATAAATTAGGAACAGTGTTTTTTTTTTTCTCATTTGAAAATTGTTACATACCAAATAACAATCTACATTTTTGATTCGAATATCACAATTACCACATAACATGTAACACACAAAACATTGATCAGAGTTAAGCAGGAAGTGGTTCATGATGTAGGTAGCCAGAAACCCCAGCATGAATAGAAGGTAGGCCATAACAAATTGGGAAAGTTCTGGTACCATATACAGCTCTGATTTCATCTTGTGTTATTCTAACAATTTCATGCTTGACTTTGTGGTTTTGCTATATGGTATGGTATGAAGTGTTACTGTAAATAATGTGTTGATTTTTTTTTATTCTTCATACTATGCAAGTCATGACCAACACTTTGCCTTGAAAGTTATCCTGTATATAGTACCTTGACAGATACAGGTTGATAATTCAGGAGATCAAACTACAAAAAAGCCCAACTCCAATAGTTTACAAAACTTGTTGAAATCTGCTGATGCTCAAGGATAGAGACATAATGTAAGAAGAATACTGTGAATCTTACTGGCAGCGCTGGCAGCGGGGGAACCAGCCCCCTGGGGATTGGAGCCCAGCGCACGGTTTGGGGGCGGGGGTACAGGAGGGGCAGGACCACGAGTGTTACGGGTGCGGTTGCGGCTGTTACCATGGGTACTGCTACTGTGACTACCAGACCCGCTACTTGGGACCTGCCCTGTGAAGTGAAACAAACGAAACTAAGGAGGTGAAATTCAAAATTTGTGTTAGCTTACAAATCATATTCAACAATCGTATGAATTATTAATAGCTTACAAAGTTTTGATTAACATTGTTATTAATGAACTTAATTTGAGCTGTAATGGAACAATTTAAACACTGGCTTTGTTTAATACCTCAAAGTTGAATTAAAACCACAGGAACAGTGAACAAAAGACAAGTTTTTGTGTTACCATCTTGTTCTTGGCTTACACTACCAAAGCGAGAGAACAATATTTTACACAGAAAGATAATTTGGGTACCTGTTCTCATCATTTGGTGCATAGCTCTTTTAGTGAAAATAGCAAAGTTCTGAATCACAACCACTATGTAGGTAAGGGAGACAACTACAGGGGAGACAATCGTGATAAGGTATGCAACACAGTGTGATATTAAAGGTATGCAACACAGTATGTGTTTGGCCACTATATTTTTTATCATATTTGCCACAACACATGTGACCTCTAGTATAGGCCCTGAATGACTGTTAAGCCTCTAAATGACCTCTAGGCCCAAGTTATTTCTTTCTGGATGACTCTTAAATTAAAATATTCATATGCTTCCAACAAGCTCTTGAGTTACATCCAGACCTGAATGAACTCCAGATCTGGGTGGCCTCTGGGCCTCTATTGGTAGTACTTATGAAACAACTGGATTGTCACAGAAAAGTTGGACAAAATACTAAAAGTTCACAACTATCAGAATTTGATGCCAGGCTCAAAATAGATTTATCTTGTTTTAGAAAACTTCAAATTATTTATCTTCTGCATAAGATTTTAAGACAACTAAAATTGACACATTACATAACATACCATATTCTAGTTGACCATTCCCAGTTAAACTTACCATTAGCCTGTGCCTGTGAGTTTCTGCTGATGTTTCGGCGTGGAAATCGGGTCATATTAACCTCCATCCCATGAAATTCTAAGTTTACATCACCAGTTTTACCTTTACCCTCATGGGTAACCTCAAATACCTTGCCCGTATGACTTACTGAAAACAACAAATGGAAAGAATAACATATATATACATATATTTTGATGTGATGGACAAATAGTGTGTAGTATATATATGTAGCACCTATATTGTTTAACATGACCTACATACAGTGAACTAGACAAATAGTATATACTGTGCCATCTTTATACTTCAATAAGACCTACATTTTTGTATATACTCGACTTACTACTAATATGTCTCACCCCAATACTTCTATGAGACCTACATACTAGACAAAGAGTATATACCATCTTTATAATTTCGATAAGACCTACATACAATACTAACTAAAAACATGTCTCACCCTCATACGTCAATGTGACGTACATACAAGACTAACTAATAGTATGTCTCACCCTAATACTTCAATGTGACCTACATACTAGACTAACTAATAGTATGTCTCACCCTCATACTTCAATGTGACCTACATACTAGACTAACTAATAGTATGTCTCACCCTCATACTTCAATGTGACCTACATACTAGACTAACTAATAGTATGTCTCACCCTCATACTTCAATGTGACCTACATACTAGACTAACTAATAGTATGTCTCACCCTCATACTTCAATGTGACCTACATACTAGACTAACTAATAGTATGTCTCACCCTCATACTTCAATGTGACCTACATACTAGACTAACTAATAGTATGTCTCACCCTCATACTTCAATGTGACCTACATACTAGACTAACTAATAGTATGTCTCACCCTCATACGTCAATGTGACCTACATACTATACTGACTAATAGTATGTCTCGCCCTCATACTTCAATGTGACCTACATACTAGACTAACTAATAGTATGTCTCACCCTCATACTTCAATGTGACCTACATACTAGACTAACTTATAGTATGTCTCACCCTAACACTTCAATGTGACCTACATACTAGACTAACTAATAGTATGTCTCACCCTAACACTTCAATGTGACCTACATACTAGACTAACTAATAGTATGTCTCACCCTAACACTTCAATGTGACCTACATACTAGACTAACTAATAGTATGTCTCACCCTAACACTTCAATGTGACCTACATACTAGACTAACTAATAGTATGTCTCACCCTAACACTTCAATGTGACCTACATACTAGACTAACTAATAGTATGTCTCACCCTCATACGTCAATGTAACCTACATACTAGACTAACTTATAGTATGTGTACCACCTTCATACTTTCACATGACCTTCCACATTTCTAACAGCATGTACAAAAATGTACCACATTAGACTAATAGTTTGCACCACCCTTATACTTTAATGTGATACACTAAATTCTAATATTTTACCACACTTTACCCTTATACGACCTACACATACTGGATTTATGGTATGTTCCATCTTTGTACTTTAAATGATTATTTCATTCTTTACTCTTCCACCACTGTAGACCAAAATGGATTCATCCAGATCAATGCATGGTAGAGTCTACTAAAGTTACCTAGGGGTGAAATGGTTAATAGTGCTATTTTTGTTCCAGATTTTTCAAACTTTCAAATTAACACTACAGGATCAACTCTAGTTGAGAAGCAACATAGTGATAAAAAGCACTGCATAAACACATGCAAATGTACAGTGTAATGATGCATTACGCCCAATGACACTCCATCTTACATTTGCCATGGTTCTCCAGTAGGATGGCGTGTAGCTCTATGGTATTTGATCCTATTAGTGTGGGTGCACGTATAGTGTTCTGACTGAACACCTTTATCTCAATCTTTGAATATGGAGTGACCAATCTGCAACAAAATAGAGATCACAAGTTAAGTACAGTTATTTCAACATCTAAGCAGCTTTTTCTATTAAGATGATTTGTTAGAATAAAAACACACTTAAAATGTGTTTTTTTAATTTGATATTTGAGCTGTGTTGATCTATTTAAGTGAATACATTTTTATCTTTTTTTTATGTGAATACATTTTATCTACTGGTATCTTTTATGTGAATACATTTGATCTATTTTCTAATCGTATTTTTAAACATGAAATCAGATGGAAGTTCAAAATCCAAAATAGTGAAAAAGAAAGTCTGACTTGGCTTTATCTAACTGATTTGACCTCACTAAGAAGGTCGTATGTTTGTGTGATCTGAACGAACATAAGGCTAGCCGGTCATGTTTAGTAACATGGGGTGACCAAGTAGTCTCTGGAGCCCAAATCCGTTATCATCATTAAATATTTACAGAGCTAATTAGCCTATGACACAAATAACACAGAACTACAGGACTTCTGACAGAATTCAGTCTGGACAATGTCAGACACTGAGGCAGCCTGGTGATAGTCAAATATATTTTTGAATTATTTGAACTGTATGCAGACACATGTGATGTCATTGAACTGGTTGCAAATTTTCTATTTTCTTTTCCAATTCAGGTACAATATCTCGATATTCAAGACACGGTGGCAAGTACCAGAGAGAATGTACACATAAAACCTACAATGTGAAGTCCTCTTCCCATTTCGGAGTAGAAGTTTTCTTCGAGACATCTGTTTTTCTTGGTGGTTGTCCGTCAACGCTTACTTCTGCAAATGTGTCAGGTTTGGAGGCGAGCAGACCACTGCTTGCGGTTATTTTAGCTGATTGTACTGGAAAAGAGAGAGCAAAACACCATTCTTATTGTGTATGTACAGCTATAGTGAAGAAGTAAAACACCATTCTTATTGTGTATGTACAGCTATAGTGAAGAAGTAAAACACCATTCTTATTGTGTATCTACAGCTATAGTGAAGAAGTAAAACACCATTCTTATTGTGTATCTACAGCTATAGTGAAGAAGTAAAACACCATTCTTATTGTGTATCTACAGCTATAGTGAAGAAGTAAAACACCATTCTTATTGTGTATCTACAGCTATAGTGAAGAAGTAAAACACCATTCTTATTGTGTATCTACAGCTATAGTGAAGAAGTAAAACACCATTCTTATTGTGTATCTACAGCTATAGTGAAGAAGTAAAACACCATTCTTATTGTGTATCTACAGCTATAGTGAAGAAGTAAAACACCATTCTTATTGTGTATCTACAGCTATAGTGAAGAAGTAAAACACCATTCTTATTGTGTATCTACAGCTATAGTGAAGAAGTAAAACACCATTCTTATTGTGTATCTACAGCTATAGTGAAGAAGTAAAACACCATTCTTATTGTGTATCTACAGCTATAGTGAAGAAGTAAAACACCATTCTTATTGTGTATCTACAGCTATAGTGAAGAAGTAAAACACCATTCTTATTGTGTATCTACAGCTATAGTGAAGAAGTAAAACACCATTCTTATTGTGTATCTACAGCTATAGTGAAGAAGTAAAACACCATTCTTATTGTGTATCTACAGCTATAGTGAAGAAGTAAAACACCATTCTTATTGTGTATCTACAGCTATAGTGAAGAAGTAAAACACCATTCTTATTGTGTATCTACAGCTATAGTGAAGAAGTAAAACACCATTCTTATTGTGTATCTACAGCTATAGTGAAGAAGTAAAACACCATTCTTATTGTGTATCTACAGCTATAGTGAAGAAGTAAAACACCATTCTTATTGTGTATCTACAGCTATAGTGAAGAAGTAAAACACCATTCTTATTGTGTATCTACAGCTATAGTGAAGAAGTAAAACACCATTCTTATTGTGTATCTACAGCTATAGTGAAGAAGTAAAACACCATTCTTATTGTGTATCTACAGCTATAGTGAAGAAGTAAAACACCATTCTTATTGTGTATCTACAGCTATAGTGAAGAAGTAAAACACCATTCTTATTGTGTATCTACAGCTATAGTGAAGAAGTAAAACACCATTCTTATTGTGTATCTACAGCTATAGTGAAGAAGTAAAACACCATTCTTATTGTGTATCTACAGCTATAGTGAAGAAGTAAAACACCATTCTTATTGTGTATCTACAGCTATAGTGAAGAAGTAAAACACCATTCTTATTGTGTATCTACAGCTATAGTGAAGAAGTAAAACACCATTCTTATTGTGTATCTACAGCTATAGTGAAGAAGTAAAACACCATTCTTATTGTGTATCTACAGCTATAGTGAAGAAGTAAAACACCATTCTTATTGTGTATCTACAGCTATAGTGAAGAAGTAAAACACCATTCTTATTGTGTATCTACAGCTATAGTGAAGAAGTAAAACACCATTCTTATTGTGTATCTACAGCTATAGTGAAGAAGTAAAACACCATTCTTATTGTGTATCTACAGCTATAGTGAAGAAGTAAAACACCATTCTTATTGTGTATCTACAGCTATAGTGAAGAAGTAAAACACCATTCTTATTGTGTATCTACAGCTATAGTGAAGAAGTAAAACACCATTCTTATTGTGTATCTACAGCTATAGTGAAGAAGTAAAACACCATTCTTATTGTGTATCTACAGCTATAGTGAAGAAGTAAAACACCATTCTTATTGTGTATCTACAGCTATAGTGAAGAAGTAAAACACCATGAACTACCAGCTGATTGGCAGTGGCAACTGTGCTAATTCACTATGCTCATATAGCATTACAACATTTAGCAATCTACAGCATTTTTCATTGTTGCACATTGCTAATGGAATCGGGGAACAGTATGCTGCACATTATATAAAGCAATATGGAACAGTTTGAAAAATACTACATGATGGTGGTTAATTTGGCTGATATTCTCCATTGTTTTAGTTACAGCACGTTTTGTTGTAAAACTAAGAGCACACAAAGACTTATCAGGTTCACCTTAGCTCTTCAGCCTCTTATATTAAATGTATCATGTAAGGTTGATAACTGGGACTCTATTGGGCTTTCTCTCAGTGTATTTAGCATCAGATTTCTGACAAGGAAAACAATACTAATGCCCTGCTAACTGCTTTAAGGTCATGGCTTACCATACATTGCTTCAGGTTGGAATTGCACTTTTACACTTAATGCAATGCTCACACGTGCAATAACAAGTGACTTCTCCTGACTTCAAAAGTAATCTCAAGCAAGTATTTTGATTAGGACAAGTTGACCCAAATCAACTCCATTTAAAATTACTGTGAGGAAACTGTGTTTTTCTCTCAGTCTGAACAGCAATCCAAAGTCAGCATTTTGGCAAGAAAGCTCTGTATGAAACTTAAGTGTGAAAGACCAAAGAAAACTTGAGTCACTGTTTACATAAACATGTACTTATATATACACATGTACTATATTTGTAGACTATGGCCCAAAAGGACGTTCTATTCATGTTTTACACCCAATGACCGGTAAAGAGAACTAAAAATTGTCAAGTTTCCAATCCACATTCCCTTTCCAAGCTATTCAATATACCAATGAGATAAATATTTAACTTCTATTTCCTATTTGTATTTACAGCCAACATTTATTGATTTTTGTGTGAGGTCCATACTACATTTAGCCGCAATACAACACATTTAGGAATTGGCTTTTCAGCTTTTTACAACAGATATATAAACGAGATAAGTTTTTCCAATCTCCTGGGACAAGTAAGTACATATAACAACTGATACAAATATTACTTGTGTACTAAATACAAAAGAAATATTTCTTCTTGATCGCAATATGTACCTGTCATGTGCAGTAGGAGTCACACCCAGACTATACATTACTGGTTGGAGTTTCTAACCTAAAGTGAACCTCCGGCTAGTCGAGTCAATAACTAGTGATTAGATGGTTCACATCAATGGAAATAACTTGTCCTTGACTCTTCCATGGGACCATGCGTAAAAAGCAAGAATATTGAGATTACTATACTCAGTATCCTTGTACCTACATTGGGTACTGATGTTTTTAAAGTCAATTTTTCTAATTGCCTTCACTAGGCGTGGAACCCAAACTACAGATTAAATGCAAGTGTCAGCTTCACTTTCACAGGATTGAGTAATGTTATCCTTACTTAAGTGTTTCAGTAATTCACGAGGAAAGAAATGTCCTTCATATTATACATGATATTGATTACCAAATTTATCTGTGTGCCAACATTACTCTGATTTTTGTTTCTGTGATACCTGCAGGGAAACCTTAATCAACCTTCAGATTACACTTTATATATAGCTACAAGGCAAAGACTTAAGACAAATGCATAGCATCAGATTGTTGCTAAATATCACAACATTTTCAAGGTCATTCTATAAGGATATTTCCATTTGAAAAAGCAACAAATGCCTTGAGCGCTCACTCTTGATGAAGTTTGCTAATGTTTCAGGACGAAGAACAGCTAATATATCGAGCGTCTTTGATTTTTTGTGAAAACCTAAATGTAACTGAATTCAATACCAAATCTTTTCCATTTAATTCATTCAGTGAGCTTACAAACTATACCGTAGATCACTAACCCAATTCTCAGATAACTACAGAAATGTATGGTGGCTAAATCTAAAGGCTATCATACCTGTACTATTCAATAACAGTGTTCAGTATATAGCATTATACATGGTCTATGCTTCTTTTTGTTTACAGATAAATAAAGTCATTCGTGCCAAGTGATGAAGGTTGGTTATCTATAAATGCAGTAAGTATGGGGTACAAATGATGATGCTTGGTTGTATATTACACACATATAATCTTAATTTATTGCTCTGGGAGGGATCCCAGAGCAATGAATTAAGACTAAAGAACGTGTAAATGGACCAAAACCCACATGGTGATTAAATACCTTTTTACGTCAGATCAGGGAATGGAACCCTTGCTTTCTTTGCGAAAGACCAGTATCAAACTTGTAGACAAAGGACATTAGTAAGCTGACAAAACATCAGTTGTCAATATTATAAAGCCATACAAGGTAGCTATATATATGTATATATAGTGTGCCACAGTTTGTCAGTGGCACATAATGTGTGCTAGCCTTAATTAAGCCTTGCAGGTATAAAAACAGGGTAATGCTGGCACACAGATAAATTTGGTTATCAATATCATATATAATATGAAGGACATTTCTTTCCTCGTGAATTGGTATTACGGAGAAACTTTTTAATTACGTAATTAACATTCATCAACTGGTACCATATCACCATTATCAACCGAAGCAAGAAGCATTGTAATATGACATTAAGCTGTAATATAACCAACCATTCATTACAGCACAGGCAATAATGCCAGACTAACATATTAGCTTCCACATCACAAACTCATCAATATTAAAACTTTGATTTTCTAAGGCAGGTACAATACATAATTTACATATAGTCAATAAATCATTGTCGTTGTTCCATTTCATTTTCATGCAAAAAGTTGCTGTTGGAACCAATGCCTGTCCACCATTTACATACATGTTGTGCTCCTAATGGACTATCTCTTTCCAGCTTTATTCACACAATTTTTGTCAGAGGCTTGAAATTCAACTCAATTTTCACAACTAATTGTAATGGTATTAAGTTATTTAACAAATATTAAACCAAATGATTGATTGATATTTCTGAGGAAGTATTTCTGCCTCGAGTTTCCTATCACATGCCCACACGATTGTTGTAACACAATCCTATAGCCCTATAGCCAAACACAGAAAAGGCTGCTCTATTGATAAGCACTAATATGTAAGTCTGACTGTAAAATTGATTCGTGGCAATCACAGAACTTTTTTTCCATTTCCTGCCAGTTTGCATTAACTCCAATTTCTCTGGCAGTGGGTGTTTTATAGAGTGTTTAGATTTGTTGATCAATACCTTATTTTTCCAGTTTGTGTGACATAATCCTTTTTCCATCACAATCCAACTGCACAGTAATACAGTTATGTGGATATATGGGCCATTAACAGTCGACAGTTCATTTCGTACCACCTCATATCAAACAGACCTCCAGTATATATATATATATATATGTTACTGTCTCACATACTACAGTGCATCCCATTTGGTTTTTAATCAAATCGAACCATTTATCTTGTTACAGCACCAAATACAAGGGAGATAACTTAGTGTCATTTTTACATTACAGTATTATATAATATTACAATGTATTAATCTCGTTCCAAGGGGAATTAGAGAATATCTCCATTAATGTCTTCACGAAGAGATAATGTTTGACTTACCTGTGACTTGAAGTTGAGAAAACTGTGCTTGACCTGCTGATGCCGATGCTGCTTCTCCCATAATGATCTAGCACATAAGGATATCTGTAAAACAAAGGCACACTGTTTGATTTTTTTCCCTTATTATTAAAAATAATTTCATCAATTAACAATATGACAAAAAATAGATAATAAACGAGTGCAAACATCAATATAAAATGATTGAAAATATCTGCAAAACAAATCAATTGCAATGAAATTCTTCTTGTGGACAAAAACTACATCAAAGTACAGCCCAACAACAGCTTTGTTGCGAATTCTCAACACACTTCTTGGATCCAATCGATAACAAAATATAACATTTTGGCAGTCCCACAGCATGTCCAAGTGCTGAGCTGTAGTGGTAGGAGGCTTAAGCTTGCTGTTTTCTGATTTTTGAGACATTAATGGAACTTCCCCTGTACTAATGGTCATGTTTCATTAATTGGCTCTGTATAAATATCACATGATCCTAAACTCAGAGCCCTAGTTCTGAATCCAAACTTGTAACTACAAATTTTAGTACATGGGAATTCTTTTCCTCGTAACTTCATGTCAAAATAATTAAATCTCCAGGATTTATTAGGGAAGTTGGAGCATTATATTTTCCTGCAATCCAGTTCAGAATTATAGAATTTATATTACTCAGAACAGAATGCAGTTCATAAAAATATTTTCCACTGAATTTGCCAATAAATTGATGTGATTTTCGTATTTATATATATGCTTCAAATTTGAGATTCACAATAATGAAACAGTCAAAATTGGCTAGCAATCTCCAACAATATTATAATTACGATGTCGCATATTAGCGCAACAGAGTTTTAGTCTCATAACCTATATCTGACTTCAGAGGGTTTATGTAACAGTAGTGCATATATATGCTTGCTGCATGACCGTGTTTTTTGACAGGATTTTTTTTTTTTTTTAGGTTTCGCAACCACAGCTTACTAATACAGTTACAAAACGAAATGTATTCATTATAAGTTGATGAATGTGTAATGTTAACATAAGCTAACACTGACTTAACACTATACTCAAGTATGCAAGTCTTAGTGGTTGGTTATATTTACACAGCAGATTAAATGTAGCCCACTGTCCATTTCTCTTAATTGATTTGTAATCTTTTTATGGTTGATATTCACTGAGGCTGATGTAGATTTAACTGCAAAATCTTTATATTTTATTTTAATTACCATTATTGACAGTACGTATTTATTAATTAATCACCAAACAAGAGACATGTATGTGAGTGAAAAAGTACAACTTAAAGAATAAACAATTTGTATCTATAGCCTTTCAATATATCGCACTACACGTTTCTCAGCAAGGTCATAATCTATCAGTCTTTCCCGGATAGCTTAACTGACTACCACATGTATGTAAACAATGCCCCTTCCCTTGTGTCACTAGAGATGGGCGCGTATGTGTTCAGTATAATAATTCAAACAGGTGAGGAAACATTTAATGTACACTGTCAACACCAGTGCACAAACCTAGGCAATAACTGATTATACAAAAAGGTCTCGAGATATTGCACTCAAACTTCCCAGAGTATAAACCTCCACAACATATATAAACTAAAGACAAAGGGAGGGTAATTATAAGGGTGGGATGTAACCCCTATATACCTGTAGAGGACAGAACAGAATTGACATCAAATTTCAACTTACAGGTAAGTCTCATTTAGGTTAAAAGTTCTATTCTCTCTTCTGTCGGTACTAGGGGTCACATGAGATGGGTGTTCAATAGCAGTAAAGTAACTCCCCATCTGTAGGAAGAGTAATCCCCTCATTTGTTGGGGTAAATGATAGATTGTTAATTCTTCCTGTCTCTTGGGTTCATCTTATCTCTTGGGGTAAAGTAACTCCCCATTTTTTGATCCAGTAAAATTCTGAGAAATTGTAAGTTATGTATGCAATATGCTGTCTGCGTTTGACATTGAAATATATATATATGTGTGTATTTAGGCTTCTAAATATACATTTTGCATTATGTACATTTAATTTAAAATTGCATACATATACTCTGAACACTGGTTGTCTTGGTTATATATATCATATACCGTATATATATACAACCCATATATTAACAAAAACATGAGAATCAGAAAAACTCTTAAAGGTTTAACATTGAAATATTGTTACAGATGATATCAGAACAATGTATTATGCACAAATTTGTTATCTACAGAATAACAATCAGGCTGATATGTAGATTAGACCTGACCCTGTCGGTTATTGTGTAGTAGATGAGGAAGTTTTTATGTAGAAGGCTGCCTTCACACTTCTCATTAACTTAACCTACTGACGTCCTGTTAATATGTCCTGGTTTTTAAATGACACTGCAAATAACAAACTATCGGTACTGTAGCCCCAGTATTAACCGTGTATAAATGATATATATGATCTTCTATAAATCAAATTGATTATCATAGCCAATATATGGGACTCAGTGTCAACACTCCACACAATAAATAAACTTAAAATATCAGGGTGGTACAGGCAAATATTCAAAACAAATCATCTGTAAAATAGGAGGCACGGTAGTCTAGTGGTAGGACGCCGTGCTCGTGACCGAAGGGTTGTGTGTTCGACTCACGGCATGGCGCTGTGTTGTATCTTTGATATCAAATTAAAGTAATGAAATTAAATTAAATTTCAGGTTATGATTTTTATCTATATATATACTGTAATAAGTGCTTGCATCATCTGGTCAAGAAGTTGTACTTTCTAGATACAGAAAACAGATCTAGATCTAGACCAGAAACAACTGTTACAGTTTACTCGAGGTTGTTCAACCTCAGTGTTGACCTGAGAATTCCTACGATATAGAAGTGTGTATATATATACTCCCTCCACCTGGGGAGAGAACACAGATGCACTAAAACTGTACCATGGTAAGTTCCCCTTGGTATTGATCAAGTCTGGTGGTCTCTGTGATCTTTCACACGCTCAGGTGGTCAGCAGATGTATATATATCTTGATATTTGACAGAAACAAGAATGTGGTCTCTATCCTCCTACTGTTACTTTCAATATCAGTACATCACATGGATCACTGATCAATATAAATGTATAATATTCACCTACGTATCCTAGATAAACAGAACAGACTAGAAACTCTATGCAAATTCATCAAAATAGTACTACGTAACAAATGAGAAAACTGACACTTTAATTTCACAGTACCCCATGGCATTACCATTCTTCCTATTTTTCATGAAAGTAGTCCGTGAAATATCTGTAGTAGGAGGGTATTTTTACTGGCTACCAGCTACAAATGTTCCCATGATAATACTAGCAGGTGTATTCATTCATTTACACTATGATTTATAAAGGTTCAAGACTGAAACCATTTTTATATTTCAGTCAGAAAAGATAAATCTATCAAAACAAATTTTCATTATTATTTTATATCTTATAATCAAAACTCCATTTATATGGGTAAAAGCTCATCAGGAAAGTGTCCATTCCCAAAGTGACAGCTGTAAAACAAGTTCATAACTATAACACCCAAGTACATATTGGTTTGCTGGATAGTCATCATACATTCATAAACATACATGTATTGTCAGTGGCCTTTCATGATGGCTTCTCCAGCAAGCAACATTAACGGCCTCATGTTTAATTATAAATCACATACTCGATCAGTGGCCTTGACCTCCCCTGTATCAGCAAGCCTGGCGAACTCTCTGATGTTTAATTATAAATTGGTTGTGGTTCTTCATACATCATTTCTTTTTATGGTGGTCAGGTACGAAACTAAAAAGCCCACAGAACTATAATATCACATCACAAAGACCAGAGAACTGATACCGACAGGTTCTAATGCAGATATATCTCAGAAATTACCTGACAAAATTTCAGTTACTTTATCTGATGTCATAAAACTAGATAATATTCATTTTTATTACTTGATAATATTCATTTGTAATAACAATTACAGATACAATGACATGTTTCACAATGGAATCACTATCAGACAGCAATCAAATTGATAACAACACGCTAATCAAGGTTCATGATGATGATGTAAAGGTCATGATCATACTTCCTTCTACAACCGATACTAGATACAGCTAAACAATGAAGTGTGTGAAGGGATAACCCAGCAACCATACACATAAACCCATTTACCCCTAAAGTTGTGAACCTTATCAAATCAAAGGCTGCGCAGGACACATTTGAACTCTTCCAATTCAAAGGTTCGAATAGCTCATTATGAAATTTCAGGGGTGAATGAGTTAAACCTGTTGTTTGTTTTTTTGTCAAGAGCTACCTCCCTTAAAAACTTTATTTTGCATTTTTTTTTTTATTCAGAGTTTTCCATAACATTTCACAACTTCTATTAACACCATGATTCATCTGAATGAAGGTGTACAAGTCCTATATATTACAAAGACCAAACATAATGTAATCAAGACATGGATTGACGTAAACATCCTCAGTTTTCCTTCAAATAAAATGCATTAAATTATTTGGGAGTATGAATGCACTTCTGTTAACAAAACCCCCAAACTACCTATTGATAAAGGCATTGCTGGAAGTGAGGGATGGGTCCACTGTATCCTACACCCTTCCACTGTCCTGAGCTAGCTATATATATAACTACCCTTTATCATTGCATGCTACGTCTGACCATGCAAATATAAACACCCTATAGGACTCTTGGTTATTTGGTAAATGTTGTTTAATGTAAACAGCTGACGCAGAATGAACAGACATCGGATCCGGGTTCCACCCTGTCTTACCCTAACTAGTATTTTAAAACATTTGAATAGAAATTAATAATTTAACACATGAAGAGAATGGTTATAAACATAAATGTGTGTTTACTGACTACGGTACAAGTAAACATGGTTTGTAACTTGATTTAATGTAAATAAAAGCAGTATACAGCAGATTTGCCTGTGTAAACACCATCTCTATCGGAGTTGTCTTGGTGAAACACAGTTATATGATGATCAATCATTACCCATCCAACTCTCTATTAATGCAGCCAAACAGGCTCATGTCTATTGAATTGCAACACATACATTGTATATATGATTGTGGAATGTTTCTGTAAATTGTTTCGTATCAAATATCATATTCAGTTAGAACATACCCATATAATGATGTGACATTCATGAATATAAAAAATACATGTTTTTTTAAATTTCTAGCCTACAAATTAATAACTGGAAAAATGAATTATTGATTATTAAATTGTTGAAACATATTTCTGAAGATACATGTAAATTTATACATTATTCTCCTTTCAAAAACATTCAGCATTATCAAGTAATTCAGAAAAATGAAATGGTATCAATGTATCTCTTGTACTATTCCAATGTATAAATATCATCAATAGATAATATTTGTTTTCAGATTAACCATTATATAAATGCATGTCACAGCAAATGGTTACTGCATGGTAACATATAGATCATGATCACTTCCTGAGAGATAGCGATGTAAATGAATGCATACATAATTAAAATGAAGAGTAATGTAGTTACATGCAGTAGACATCTAGTTAGGTAATGATTCCAACTCCAGGAGAAGGTCATGCATCAGTCAACACCAACATGACAATCTCAATATGGCCAGGTCATGGAAGAAACTTTTCCAGACACACAATAGACTTTGATCAATTCCTCCACCACAGACCCATCATGCTTCACCCAGAAATTCTCATCTCCCCCTTCAGGTACACATGGTCCGTGTACAGTCGAGCAGAAATAACTTCATTGTCAATACAATACACAGAGATCAATTCTGAGCACTTCGTCATCTGAGCCGTAAAGAATTACCACCAACAGGATTTTATTTATGCTGAGTACATTGACCCACTTTCACTACTGTACAAATCTATATTGCAATTACGATGTTTACTGTTTTGATCTGATTGTGGTAGCCACGCCAAGGCAACCAGAATCAATTCAATGTTAAAATATAGTCAGGATCAGATATCACTACTTCCTCAATTGTTACATTATTGCAGCAATTTTTATAATTATAAAATCTAATAAAAATGTATAAACCAATTATTCATCATGCTGTATAAATAATATTTATCAGGAGGAGTATGTGTGTTTCCACCAGGATGTTTTATTGTTTTTAATATCATTCAATGACATTTATCTTTCCATGAGATATTGCACTGAATATATTAAGTGCTTTTGCGTACTAAGGTACAAGAAACCTGGCTTGTGGCTGCAAGCTTCTAATCACAACTGAGACAATATCCTATATAGCTCTAGGCATCTATATCATTAAACCGACCTAAAGATCCTGTGCTTGTGTACCTACCAAGTGTGACAATCACAGTACAGCACCCAGGTTTCTATATGGTTTGAATGCAACACAACATCACAATCATTGTGACATCCTTTTCTAATTCATTTATAGTAATTATTCATTCTCTGCATGTGGATACATAGAGAATCTGGTTTGCAATCACTTTTTTAAAAGGCCCTAGAACTCACATCATTTTTAAAGGTTTTATCAAGCTTAAGCCTTATCTCTGTTCCCATAAAATAAATTTACTTCCTGTTAAACATGACCAGCAATGATAGGTATAGGTGCAACATAAAATCCCTTCCTGTTAAACTGCAGCGACAGGTGAAACTCTTGTTTTCTCTCTCTCTAAAACTTTTATTCATAACCGATATAAGAGCTTTTGCTTATTGAGCTTAAACAGATTTATAACAGCTGTAAATGCATGTGTATGAAGCTTTAAGCTTAGCAAGTCAGTATCCAAAGAGATAAAATTTTATATCAGAGCTGCCTATTACTTAAAGGCTATAATGAAATTATATTGATTTCAGAAACCACAACTTGATCAATATTCCTATTTTCACTTAATTCCACATCCTTTCTTTCATTAATCCAGAGTCAAGATTTCAGTAAGATTTTGATAGTCAAACAACAATTGTTTTACAGGGAAATTGCAATCCTTTAAATAGATTTTTTCTCTTTTGCACATCTTGTTCGACAAAGCATGAATCACTGCTACAAAAACAACTGTCGCTGCAGGCAAGTCAACGATCAAAAAGACCCTATGTGCAGATATGTTGATTTTTTGAGTTACAAATGAATGATTTTTTTTCTCCTTTCCAGTGATACTACTTGGTATTATTTAATATGTGCTGAAACGAGAGATATTATAAGTTGGCAAGCACATATAAATGTACCTAGTTGTCTAAGGTGTATAATTCAGCCCAGTTTTTTGTTCACGTTGAACGACATTTAACATTTAACCAGCTGGTAAAGCATCAACTCTTCTCCTTTGTTTCTAAACTCTGAAAATCATTAGTGATTTACATATACGGTATTGCAACATTTAACAGAAAAGACGAGCTGCCTTTAAGGAATTGACATACAGACGATTATTGAATGACACATGCACTCCACTGTGAACTGCCAGCAGATATGCTTTAAGACCGGCAGATATCAGTGTATGGATCAGGTGACACTTCCTGGTCATGGACCTACAAGGTGGGATAAACGTATACCTTGTCAGACGTGTATACCTAGCCAGCTCACGTACACCAAACAGTGAAGACCTCAACATTTTATTCTTAGGTCTATCCCTAATCTTTCAACAACAGCGAAATAACATTATGGCAAATATTGTGACTATATGTAATGTAATTATAACATACTACATATATCATATATATTGCCTGCATGTTTTCTTTAAATGGATCTAATGTTGTAGTTTTTTAAATTCCAAATTTCACCAAGTAAAACTCCAACAAAATCGTCTGATAATAAAGCTTTGGTATTGCCCATGCATGGCCTATTTGATCAAATCATGTATATTGATATTCCTGATATAAAGTTGACCTTATTTGATTAACATTATCATCTTTAATTATTCCGATGACCTTTAATATCAGATCATGATCATCATATATGTACCTACACTAAAGTACCCAGGCTACAAATAAGATTATAATATATATTAATTCGTTACTTTTTTGTGTTAGGAACTCAAAGTACCTAGGACTCACAATGACTTCACAGTACTGTAACATTATATGTATATCATGACTCTATATGTACATACAAGTTATATATAGGACTGCTTATACAAGTTATATATAGGATATATATGTAAGATTGACATGGTTAACATTCATACAAACAGGATAGTCAGACCTCGTGATCCAACTAGGACATTCATGTACACACACAATGTACCTGTATATAAATAGATACACCAGCCCATCAGTACTGGGTACATGTTTTTCAATGCTGCTAAGTCATGGTAAAGCATCACTGAGTAGGTATAGATTAGAGTTTCGTACATAACAGTACAGGTGGAAAGTCACAGGTGTGTCCTTACGCATCGTCACAGGTGTAAACAAACATAGCCGACTTGAGGATCTACCAATCGCATGAATATATACCGACAGCAGTTCTGTCAATCACAGCAACTCAAATGGGGGAGACACTACATGTATATGTTCCAAATGCAATTTCTGATGTTTCAAAATAACTTCTCAGAAATCAAAAATAATCCAGAAGGCAGATCCAGTGGAAGCCATCTTGTGTGATCAACTCTTTATGTAAATGTAGTATGTCATGCATGGTTGAATTGTATGCATCATCATAATATAACCATGCATGATTGCACATGCATACATGTGTATGTTGTGATATACATCAATTAGGATGTTTGTGTTATTTGTGACAACAGAGTTGGAACCCCAAGACCAAATTAAACTTGGTATTAAGAATTTATCATCTCTATCAAGCTCATGCCTACATTGTATAAATATGGTGAAAGGGTAATTAGGATAATCTATGGTTGAAGTCCTCGTCAGGGACTGGCGGAACCAGCAGGGACAATCACAGAAAAGAGTTTTCTTCAATTCATGCCCAACAATATTAACTCTATGCATAATGTTTTAAGGGTGGTGCTCTCAATCGTTCAATATGTTTCACTTTATATTGATTCATTATTTGACCAGAAAAATGGATATATTGACCGGGAGCATTATAACAGAGTTCAATTTCAATTATTCCAAATGAAGTATGTATGTACATGCATCATCAATAATGTATTACATTATACAACTTGTGATTATGAGTCTCTCGACTGCCAATCAATTACTTTGGTGTGAACTTAAGAACCTGCTGTATAGGGGCATTCAGTAGACTAATATATGTACAACATTTCAAAGCCTTTATACTTAAAATATTAATTAACTCTGTTTAAGTGTTATGGAGTTTGACTCAAGAGAAAAGACCAAAACAGAAGTTATTGAATCAGAGTTCAAATCACATTTGAATAACTATCTCGAGTGCATAGACATAAAACCATAAACACTACAAAGTTTATAAGTTTTTGCATAAAAGTTTGTAGGAAACAAGTGGTCCAATTACTTACTATAGTCATTAGATTTTGCAACTCAATAAAGCAACATTTTCCTGCAAAATTACATACAGTATATATATAAACTACGGGCGAAATTGATATTCTGATAATTAAATGACACATTTGACACATTTCCTACCTGAATTTTTTTTATCAGGTATGTTTTGTGCTACATTACACTATCCTTGCTTCAGATCACTGATAACTGTACTTTTCACCCATATCAGTAGCTTATGTAAGCCTTCTTTAAGTGAAACGTGACATCCACATTAGTGAATTTGAAGCTACATGCTGACTTTGTATACACAAGGAAACCTGGGGGCATTGCGAGTCCATAAACTCAACAGTATACTACTTACTAGTTACATTCATGACAATTAATACCAATTCCCAATACATATATATATAAGTTACAACTAGTAACTAGGCACAAGGTACTACCGTTTGTTAAAGCTGTCGACAGTAATACACCCGTAACAAGTTACAACCATTGACACAATATGGACAGAACATTTATAACTTTCCCACAACCACAGATATTTAAATCAGGTTTCTCAAATGCAAGTGACCTATCCTATAATTAATCCACTTATTTAAGTTATTAGTTACTGTGGTATCTCTACATATGCTGTAAGACATATATACCACAGTGTAAGTGAAAAGTGCCACTGTAAGCTGGGCAATGGCCTTCTATTTGCCATTTTCTTTTAATTTTACATAATATAAATATAATGACCACTCTAATGGGAAAGTTGCTCTCAGTTTCCAGGATTTCCCCTGGACCTCGAAAATAACATGGATACAAACAAAAATACACAATTCCTGTTGTTGTGTATCATATCACAAAGTTAACAATAGTCAGGTATGTATACGTAGATCTAGATTTCACAGTTTTCACAGAGCACGCTATACAACACATCAATCTATCTTTAGCTGCTCTTTTCACCAGTAAGAGTAGAGAGTCATGATTTGTTTTCATATGGACGAATTGAAACCTGCCAACGCAAAAGAACCTTTTTGAATTCATAATAAATGTATGTAGTTTCAGGCATAATAATCTGCCACACTTGGAGCAGTTCAAGATAGTCTTGAATGATGAATGTGGAAATTTCTATAAATACAGTCCCCACTTCTGAACGAACTTCAGTATCAAAATTGAACTAAGGGCCATAACTGTGTATATATATACAGCGGGGAACAAGATCTGATTTCTGTACTCGCTTACAAAGTTTGACAATTGATACACCCAAAAAGTTGTGACACACTGAACATGATAAATCGATAACTAATACATGAAATGCAAACCTATAGCTACTCCGAGGATTTAGTACCTTGTTTACTATAATGAGGTCAGTCACAGATTAAATTCCTACAACCTGTACTGTTCTGAATATGAAAAATTACAAACATCATATGAGATATGACTATTTCTTTTGATAACATGAAATCGTGAGTCTTTGACTGGCATCATAATATAACTCTTACTACAAATGTATCCAGTTATATAAGCAATCCAGGCCAGTTACACAAGCAATATCAGTGATGTTTTAGGGTGAATTTGCTATTGGGGCCTTATAAATGCCCCTTCCCTTTAAAAATTTCTTCTGTATTTTCCCAAAATTAATGCAAAAGTCACCTTATTTCCCAAAATCATGCTTTTGTGTGTGATTTTCCCCAAAGTCACAAGGCATAGACCGCTTTGAAAAGGAGGTTGAAAAGAAGGTAAAAAATTCACTGAATGTGTATATAATTTACAGGTAAAAAATCACTGAATGTATATATAATTTACAGGTAAAAAACTGTAACATTTGTCCATTAGGCTAAGATTTTAAAACAAAAGTATCTAGCAATCATCAAGGAAGACTTGTGCACTCATTAGAGAGCTATGTTTATACATATAATGGGAATCCTATTTGTGTATGACACTTCCAGGAAAGTGCTCATGTGGCCTTAAAAAAACTTTCAACATTCATATAACAAGAATTAAATAAATGAGGAAGTTTTATTAGTGTCTGGAGCAAGTTTCTGTGGATCTGGGATCAGTCATAGTCATACAGTCATTATACAAGCCTTTTTAGAGTTACAATAGGATTAGTCCGAATTATTCTGACGTTTTATCAACTTTTTTCATATTGGTCCGTCATCGATTAACGTCAGAACTCCGGCCCTCTATAATATGCAGGAAATATACGACCCGCGCCCGGAGCGCACTTCAAACTGATATTTTAGAAACAAATCGTCACTTTCACACACATGTCGCACATGGATTGAAAGATCTATTCTTTATGCACTAGGTGGTATCAATAACATGTTTCAAAGATTATTACGAAAAGTATTTTCCAACGTTTTCTATACCAACCCATGTGTTTAATGGAAATTAGGCCATGAGCAATATCACATGACTTGACGATATCTCGCGTTACCGAAGGTATTTCCCAACGTTATGACTTAGGCCGGCGAGATTTTAGTCACGTGGCATTAGAAGGCGCTATCAAAAACAATAGAGTAAAACAGAGTAAGTTTGAAAAAATGTTTTTAGTGATTGTATTGGTTATTTGAGGCATGTTATGCATGATCGTCTTGTGCATAAAGAATAGATCTTTCGATCCATGTGCGACATGTGTGTGAAAGTGACGATTTGTTTCGAAGATATCAGTTTTAAGATGCGCTCCGGGCGCGGGTCGTATATTTCCCGCATAATATAGAGGGCCAGAGTTCTGACGTTAATCGACGACAGACCGATATGAAAAAAGTCGATAAAACGTCAGAATAATTCGGACTACAATAGGATAAACCTCTAAGCTTTTCACCAGTACATACGCCAAATCAAAATAGAGTCAAGTTTTGTTGTTGATTCTTATATTTCCAAACAAACTTTTACTTGAAATTGTTGACTTCCTAACCCTAACATTTACTAGAATTTCGATATCATATGAAAAATGAAACACCAATTGATAATCTATAATTCAAACTAAAGAAATGTACAATGAATATGAATGAACTGGTCTAAATCCAAAACATACATGTGCAATTGTCAATGTCCTAATATCGTGAGCATACAATGTTCATTCTAGATATTGAACCCAATGTGTTGTGCAACACAAAATCTAGGTCATATGTAAAATGGGCAAATGGCTAAGCCAATGTTATCTATGGATCATCATATATAATGATGGTTTGTTTTAAGAAGATATGCATCAGCATGGTGGTCAGTCACTGTAACCCATACAGTCAACATCCCTAATTGTATACATGGTCAGTATACAGTATATATATAACCCTAGTGGTCAAATCTGTACTGTAATGACAGATCATACTAGTCCTGTCTGAAGTACTGATATCACTTTTGGTGGAGTACTATTTGGGATGGGATCTTTGCCTAATGTGTAGCAATTTTGGGGGTTTGGAATAGTCCTAAAGAATATACCCAAAGCACTTTTCAAGAATCCCCTACCACCACCACACCCTATTCTGCAGTGATCCTTTCACGCCAGGTCACCAACTCACACATTCTCATTGCCTCCCGCCCCCCTACAACACTGCAGAAATAAAAAAACCATCATTCTTCTGGGACCCCATCCCTCACCATTCAATATACCACCACAAATAGTTCAGCAGAATTACTCCACCCTGTGTTGAGGGATCTTCTGAAGACTGAATGAGGACATGAGAATGAGGGGTCAATGTAGTGAGGTGATCATGATCATTTGGTTGGTTGATTGGTTGGTTGGTTGATGGGTTTTCCGTCTATACTTCCCTGACGAAGTCGGTGTTCGGTCGACGTGAGGGGGTAAGTTGCCGCTTACCAGGCCCTCGGAGATTTAAAAGTCCTGCCCATCCAGGTCACGCTTTGAGGTTGGAGAGCTCCTCAGATGTGGACAGGCTGTCACAGCTACTGCGGTCCACAGACTGACGTCCTTAGTGTAGTCCTCGCTGTCCTCTGATCATGATCAGGTTGGGGGAACCCTAAGGTGTGTTTTGGGAGTGACGGCTGCAGTATGTGGGAGGTGCACATCAGTGGACATGCATTGGTGGATTTGGAGTTAGAGCCCCAATGTAAGGGGGGTTGTATTGGGTAGGTATCCATGCATGCAGAACATATAAGATGGTGAAAGTGGAGACCAAACTATTTGTTTAGATGGGGCAACAAGGGGTAGGATGTATCAAACTGGGAAAAGTTGGAGTTGACCAGGTTCTAGCTAGTATAGGCTCTATTGGGATCTGAACTGATATCCTGCTGTACCTCTAATTGTTGATGTTATGGGGAATGATAGTTATGTGGATATGATTGGTGGATTGTTATTAAACAAGATTATATTGATAAACATGGAAATGGAGCTAATAATAGGCTTAGTATAACTATGATACTCAGTGAAGCAGAAAATATAGCTGCCAGTGACCTAGTAGGCTACATCTGATATACTGTAATGGTATGGTTAAATTTCTTCGAAACATATCCTAATTTAAAGCCAATTAAATGACTGTTGGACTTCAAAGTATTTGAGTTGTAATGGAGACTAAAGTCAAATCTAGCTATGACTTCCTAAATTTAATAAATAGGTAATTAAAGAACTTGCACTATATCAGTATATGGGGTAAAAATAGAAATGGGTTCGAATGGAGTAGGTGAATAACTCAAACATGCTTATATTTTTAATTATATGTTGATATTAAACTAGCCTAATATTAACATTAATAATAACTGGCATGGTATCATCACGGTTACTGGTCCTGTACATATAAGCCTATTATTGTCAACAAAATGATTACTTCTGTAGGCCTAGTTCAGTAGTTGGTGATGTACCAAAAGGCATGTCAGTGCGACGTCAATTTAATGTATATCTAACTTTCTCAAGACTACACTCTGTATGATAATGTGGCCATCAGCAACTTATGATCATCAAAATAATGTTCCACATGACGCATATAGGTCGAAACAGAGAGTATATCCTGGTGTCTTACCATGTCAACATCATGCCCAGTAACGAAAGGTCACGAGAGATTCTCGTCTGACAGACAACCAGTTTTCATGTAAATCCAAAATATATGACACACAACAGTTCGGTTCGAAATCGATTCGATTAATAAGAAATCAGATTTGGCTATTTGTCGATATCCTTTCCAAGTCATGTCTGTATAGAAACGCAATGAAATTCCGACATCAGTTTCATGTTCGGGAATCTTACGAACAGGCGAGAATTGATTTTTTTTGCTCGTAGCTTCTGGGAATTCGTGTATCAAAATGGAAGGTTCACGCGAGATATCCATTAAATGTAAAGTATATATAAATGATCTGTTAAGTATGGATTTACTGAGTATGTTATTTTTTCAATAGACTTACTCATTCAGTTGTGACCAGCCTCAGAATACGTAGATAAATTCGGGTTGAGCCACCATATTATCCACCATAAACTAAATGATCACGTGATCTTTGACGTAACACCTACCCAAACATTGCTGGTAAAGGGGACGATTTTGTTGTTGTTGAAATTCTGTTTACAGGCAAGAATATAAAAACTAATATAATCTGTGTAAATATTATTCAATAATTTCACATTTTAAACGACTAAATTATTAAAAGAACATAGTTGCAGGTGCTTTGAATGTTTTGAACGTGCCTTATTTCAGAAGCTTTTTATCAACGCCGACAAACACATACACATGTTCTGAAAACATGGCTGACACAGGAAAGGTCCAAAACGTGATCGCAGATGCAGGAGCTTTCATCAGAAATGCTCCTCTTCAGGTATATTGACACGCCATCAATGGCAAGAATTAAAAACGTAGCCGCGTTTAATGGATGGTCCAATTTATATTGATTGGAATGACGAACGAAATAAATTGCTGTTATATTACTTGTCAAACTCCAGGATGTCAAAATATAAACGATAAATTCATTATTGCACAATGTAAAAGTAAGCTCAATATGTTAGGCCTATATATTTCCTAAAAGTATGACGATGTGCTTTTCCTGTTACCTTTAGTTAATAGAACGTAATCAATTTGTTAAATAGCGTAACATATTCTAACCAACACCTGAGGCAGAAATTAAAATTAGTTTCAGCTCCAGTACTCTGTGTCGATTGAGCCACAGGGGTTCGTTACAAATATACTGGTATAGGTCACAGCACACAGGTGCTGTGACCAATATCAGTGTAGCATATGTGTATTTCAAACATTTGTAACTGAAGCTATAACCACGTACTGGATCACTGTCAAATCTGGCGGTATGGCTAAATTTGGCTTTGTAGTCAAATATGACTTTTATACGTATATAGAGCAATAGTACTAATATTAATACCCGGCCTCCTCTGCCTCGGCCGGGTATTAAATCGATCCCATGCCTTGTAATGGAGCAAGCCCGGTGTGAATCACACCGGGGCGATCTAAGAATTATTGACAGCACATTGGTCCGCATCCATAAATAAGGTGGTAGTATGAACTATTTCTGTTGATATCCTGCACAACTTGAAGTTTAACTCTGCCTAAAATGTCGTTAAATTATCAAGTTAACGTAGCAAGCGTAATCGAAATCTGAATTGACCTCCATGTTGGAAAGATCGTCTCTCTTCCCATATAGGTCAGACGTCCAAATATGGGTGTCATGACCCAATATGGAAATTGTAGTAAACATGGCGGCATCAGTAGTAATACTATATTTGGCCATGCAGGCCATATATAGAAAGGATAATTGAGATAACATCACGCGTGATCTGTCATGGTGGTCGTTTCTATTTTTTTCCCCAAGACGGCCTTTGTTAATTTCGTAACAGTGTTTTTGCATGGGTAAGGATTCGTTTTTTCAACAAATATGCAATATTTTGATAACATTATACGCATATGAGGCGTGAATTATATGCAATCTTACAGATTAACACTTTTGATTTTGCTCCATTAGTTGGTATAGGACCGCTTCGTAGCTCTGACGACGCAATATATAAAAAAATCTCTCGTCGTCAGAAAGCTACGTTATCGCAGCTAATAGAGCAAATGTAAACAAACACACCAGTACTGGTCATAATTATCTTGTGCACATCGTTTGAAATGTTGACCAAACATGTGAGTCAGTGAAATGAGAAAGATTTTCATATGAATATTCAATTTTCAGTCATTTGTTTGAATTCCATCATTGCTTTTTTCCCCTTTCAACATATATCACTTATTAGTAACAAACTATAGTGTGTCTATTCATTATGGCACCTGCTTCGTTCATGTTACTGAAGATAAGCATCCCTATGATGCAGATTCGACCCGTCCTTTCGGAAGATGTTCATCTTCCAAGAAAGATTGATAAGATGCATTGAAAGTTGTTCATGGGTGTCTGGAGGGAGTGAAATGTTTTGTGTTTTGGTACAGAAATCGTTAATATTCCAGTCTGACCATCAGATGGAGAGGATAAAAGGACGCAAGTACTAAGAATTGCAACAGTGACATTCAACAAAGTTACCGGAAATTGAGTTTTTAGATAAAAATCTTTCATTTCACTGATTCATCTGTTTGTTCAACACTTCAATCGATGTGCATGAGATAATTATGTCCAGTACTGGCGTGTTTGTTCTCAATTTACAGTCAGAATTTCAAACACATGTGTTTCCATTTGCCCTATATACTTGTAGTCATATTTGACTATACAGTGGAATCTGTATTAAGCAACTACCCAAGGGAAATTAAAAAAAAACGGTCGTTTAATAAAAGTGGTCGTTTAATAAAGTTTGACCATATTTTGTACACACATATGACTATAACCAAACGACTCCTTATTCAGACAACTGTAAACAGACCACCGCCCCAAGCGCACATACTGGTAATTTAAAACAACATCGTTCAACAGATCAGGTGAATAACTAAACAATAGTCGAGTGATAATTATGACAGTAAACAAACAACAAAGAGTGTTTGAAAAGAATTGTCATTACACTCAGAACAAAAGATCGATGGAGACTTGTTGAAGTTCTCAACTTACACGACTGTGTTTTGGGTAATTACCATGATTTAAGCTAACTTAATTGTTACGAAATATATTGCTGTTGGAATGACAGCTGTTCCTGTGTTGGTCCAATAGATGGGTTCACATGTATTATTCCTTTAATGTTACGATGGAAACTGGAAAGAGAATCGATCCAGTTAAAAAATTGACCAAAATAAAGCCAACATCATGTTGCCGTAAAACAGACCGGTATTGTTGTCTTTAGTACTTTGGCATTGAGAAGTTCAGGGATGTTATTTAAGGCGTTCAATATTGATGAGGAATTAGAAACGATATGTATGCTAACATAAACATAGTTAGTGCGAAGTTACGCTGATATTTAATGATAATTTCGAACAAGAGTGCTGTCGTGACCATCTCTCAACAGACCCGATTTCAAGAATGAAAACCTGCCAGTCTACTTCATCCAATCAAATGGAGGATATCGTAGGGTTAAAGGTTACATTGCCTAGCCGGACACTCGCGCAATCTAAATGGTTTTGCTCAGCTGCGATAAATATTGGTCCATATTTTCACTGCTAAATCATCAATATCGGCAGTTAGAAAAATCACTTTTTATTTGTTTCTACATATCAAGGAATTTATTATAAATTTGGAAATTGCTATTTTTCAAATTTGTTCATTGAACTTGGTAAAAAGATCTTTAATTAGCCCTTCGTCAAATGTGGTGACGGTCGCAAATATTTCAACGATCGTTTGGTATATTTTCGTCAAACATGGTCGCTAAAATGTATCAAATGTAGTTGTTTAACGTAATTTTGGGGTCATTTTCGGTGGTCGCTGGTCGCTTTAGTTAAATTCAATAGTAAAAACGGTCAGGAAGAATAAAAAGTGGTTGCATAAAACAGATAGTCGTTGAATACAGATGGTGGCTTGAGCAGTTTCGACTGTATATTTGTCTAGCTAAATCTAGCTATAAAGCCAGCTTTGCCGATGCTCCAGTACCTGATAACAGCAGTAAAGACCTTTTTAAATGTGGACATTTACATTTTTAAATTATGCATTTACAAAATAAAAAAATAAGCTCAAAAACCTGCTATAAGTTATGGGTGTTTATTGGTCTTTACAACTACTAGGGTGTACATAGCCTGATTTTCCTCTGGGCCTGACACCAGACTTAGGCCTGGACATTTTGACAGATAGGTGTCTGGTGTGGGACCAGAGTTCTTTACTATATATGAAAACGTGGAATTCTCCAACACTGCTTGGTATATATAGGAGAGTTTCAATTGCTGACAGCAAAAATCTACTATGACACCGTACAACACATACCTTATATATATCGATAAAAGGGATATTGATTGATCTAAACCCATCCTTATCATCACCAACATTCCATCAGTAGAGTCCTCTGTTTCAGTAAAACAAATCCATCCTGAGCGACGCGATTTTGTAGGTTCAAATTTGTAGGAGTGACTTATCGACAAACTACTGATCTGAACCGAAAACAGAAAATATGATTCTTATTGAGCAGTTTTTTGGACTGCCTCATTTTGTTGATAAGTCAGCTGTTATATAATCACTAAATATAGTAAAACTGGAATTGTCGAAAGTATACATACTTATGTCATTTGGACATTTTGGTCAATTTTCAGAGCCTTTTAATGTATACCATATATATACCAAAAAGTAACTACATTAGTTAGTTACATTTGCTGGGAAACTGCATGTCAATTTGATATTATCTGGCACTGTCCATATGTTATAATGTGTTGCGGGATCATATACATGTACATGTATTTTCATTGCTATTTAGTTCCCTGATCTAATAAATATGAGAAATCTAACAAAAAATGTGATGATGATAATAATGTGCTTTATGTTATTCACTGAAAATCTAAATTTCAGAGCATCGGTGAGAAGATTTACTCCCTACCTGAAGTTGTGAATGAGATCCGTGACAAAGCCACCCGTCAGCGCCTCCAAGTGCTACCCTACCAGCTCCACTTCAGACAGCCATCCTCTGAATCCATCAGATTTGGTATGTGTTTCAAGACTATCCAAATGTACAAAAATTGTTGTTTTTTTGTATTTTAGGATATTATTTTTGAGTAGGTTGGTTTTTTGTAGGTTATTTTTGTACTTTCTTTCTGTAATTTTGGAAAATTTCATTGACTTGTAGTTTGTTGTTGCAAAGAACTTACTTTCTAATGCATTTTTGCTTGTAAAATTTGAGTCTTTTATGATAATATATAGCCTTATCAAGTGTTGTAGGTCCCAAACAATCGTTAATTAAGATGACATTGACAAGATTGCTGAGGTTCAAACTCATGTCTACAGTTTTCCATCACCTTTTCTGCTTCTTTACAATAAACAGTGACAGAATTCGCTAAGAAGACTGGAGACTATCGAAGTCTATCTGCTGTGGATATCAAGGTCATGGCCTTGACCTACCAGCTCGAGAAAGAGGTTGTGGGGTCAAGTCACATCAAGATCACACCAGATAGAAAGGTAAGTAGTATCGCCATAACCTACCTGTTAAAGTAAGTCCTGTTTATTACCATAACCTACCTGTTAAAGTAAGTCCTGTTTATCACCATAACCAATCTGTTAAAGTAAGTCCTGTTTATCACCATAACCTACCTGTTAAAGTAAGTCCAGTTTATTACCATAACCTATCTGTTACAGTAAGTCCTGTTTATCACCATAACCTATCTGTTAAAGTAAGTCCAGTTTATCACCATAACCTATCTGTTAAAGTAAGTCCTGGTTATCACCATAACCTATCTGTTAAAGTAAGTCCTGTTCTGTTTATTACCATAACCTACCGGTTGAAGTAAGTCCTGTTTATCACCATAACCTACCTGTTAAAGTAAGTCCTGTTTATTACCATAACCTATCTGTTAAAGTAAGTCCTGTTTATCACCATTACCTATCTGTTAAAGTAAGTCCAGTTTATCACCATAACCTAACTGTTAATGTATGTCCAGTTTATCACCATAACCTATCTGTTAAAGTAAGTCCAGTTTATCACCATTACCTATCTGTTAAAGTAAGTCCAGTTTATCACCATAACCTACCTGTTAAAGAAAGTCCAGTTTAGCAGCATTACCTATCTGTTAAAGTAAGACCTGTTCTGTTTATCACCATAACCTATCTGTTAAAGTAAATATTAGAACAGTTTACAACCTTTATTACTGTGGTTACAGACAACGCAAGTGAAGAATTAACATTGTAGATCAATTAGAGTTAAGTCTATTACTGACCAGGGATCAATCTAGCTTTTAGGGGAATCTATCCTTTTTCAGATTTGGGGGAAATTTAATTTGATACAAGGCTCTAGCATCATGAAGGTAAAAGATAAATGTTTTGTCTGACATACATGTGTGCAGTATATTTCAATTTATAAACTATTTTAAGCTTAAAATTGTAGAATGTTTGTTTAAATTATGCGAATAAAATATATATAATATATGCAGTATTATGGATTTTAACTGTTGAACTCTAAAGAAAACATATAAGGGGAAATATTTTGAAGAAAAAATGCTATTTTCTTGTTAAAATAAGGGAATTTTGAAGCACATAGGGGGAATTTCAAAGAACATGTTGATTTTCTTCAGTAGGGGAAACTACCCATAAATGGTAGTGAATCAAGTCTAGATTGATCCCAGTCTGTGTATCAAAGTAATTGCTTGAACATGTTGACAGGCTTTATAGGAGAAAAGACAGTGACACAAGATCTAAATAATGACTGCCCACCATTTTAGGGGTTGTTAAAAAACTACTGAAATAATGACCTCTTCTTTCTTTCAGATAGAATGGAATGCCACCAGGAAAATGTTAGAGAAACCAACAGATATTGCTGGATTTTATATAAGTTCAAAGGTAGGATGTCTAGATATCCTTTGTACATTGCAAGTGCATATGACAGTTGAGGTCATGATTCATTCAAGTCAGAATAGTTGTAACAGATAATTACATTTGTTTTTACACCAAATGCTGCACTTGACCATGCCACATCATTTCAGGAATCCTATTTTACAGATTGTGATCTCAGCATCTGGTTTCATTATCAATCCTGTTGCTGGCTTTAAAATAGGACTTATTCATTTCCTTTTGGTAATCAAAATGAAAAACACAATGAAATTGATATATGATGTAAATATTTTTACAAAATTGTAAGTTAGTTTTGTTTATAAATACTGAAGATAAGATTTAAGGTATTTATACCAGATTTCCATCACACACTAAAACCATTTCAGAAGTCGTTTCTTAGGATTAATGACAAAATTGGAAAAGTGATTTAATATCTCTTTTCTGAATCGGTATATATTCATAGATAAAGTGAATGGATATTCTTTTGCAAAAATTTGTGCTGGTATAAGCACAAATGAATTAAATCCATATTTAACATTAAGCCCTAACTGGCTTTAATAGGGTAAATATGGCTGTAACCAATTTATAGCAGTCATTTGAGAGTATGCAGTTGTCAATTTATCTACATACATTGTAGAGCTGTAAATCTATTTCTAGGCAAACAAATCCAGGACATCCTCAGAGTGTACATCAGACATCATAGAAACCAGAGGAGACGAGGCACATGATACACAAGAAGTGATGACATCATTAGAAAATCAGAAAAATGTCAACAGCAATTGTGAAAATATTGAACCAGTAGAAAAAGACAGCAAAACAAACACAGACAGTAGTTGTCTGCAAGATTCTAACACAGAAAACGAGGACTGTGAAAATGATAGTAGTAGTAGACTTTTAGCTGAAGGCGACACACTATCTGCAGATATTCTTGAGGAGGAAAGTGAAGAAGAGGAGGAGGAGGAAGATGAGGATGATGATGATGATGATGATGATGATGGATGGATCACGCCTAGCAATATTAAGTCTGTAAAGGAGAGGATGGGAGACGTAAATACAGAGAAAGCAGATGTATCTGTAGGCTGTCTAACTACTGACTTTGCGATACAGGTAATTGACATTAAATACAAATGATATTTAGCAAAACAAGCTTAATACTGTCAGATGACTGATAGTAAGGGACATCACCAGTGTGTTAGCAAATGAAATATATAATAGTACAAACAGGTGTAGAAAATGATAAGGTGTAAGAGAGATTTTTTTTTTTTTTTTTGAGAAAACGTTACTTGGGAAAAGAAATGCTTATTGTCAAAATTCAATGAAGAAGTACAACATTATGTGTATGGAGACAAGTGATAGCCCGTGTGATAACTTGTTGACTAATCCATTTGTAGAATGTGCTGATACAGATGGGCTTGAATGTGATCTCCGTGGATGGGATGTTGATCAAGAAGGCCAAGAGTTATGTCCTCCGCTGCTATGCCTGTCTAAAGTAAGTTATCTGCTAACTTAATTATGGCATATGCCATTAATGGTTACACTAGTGTAGACAGTGTTACCCATGACTGTCCCATACTTATTCTTAACCACTGAAAACACCTTGATAATACACATAACCTCTAGAAATTGCAGTTTATACATTTCTCAGACAGGTTGAGGTCACTATTGGAAATAAAATAAGCTATATCCCTGTCCCAGCACTAACTTTCCTGGTATTAATGATAATTAGCTAAAACATTCAAGTGGGAGAGTACCCTAAATGTACAGTGATATGTTACATACATTTCCCCAGTCCATACCACCAAAGTCAAGGTCATCTAAAGGTCAAAGGTCAGATGAGCTATATTTTTGCTGCAGAGGTCAATCTTTTACTATGGAATATGACTGAAGGATGGTGTATATCACCACTAGATGGAGTGTCACAAACATTTCCAGTTCCTTTTACTAGGCCATGTGTATATCCTTGTCCACATGTTTCGGACCTATTTACAGATAATATTTCTTTATGTTAATGAAGGAGATTCAGGCTCCATTCGCGTATCCCGGTTGAAACTAAAAATGCACAGTTTTGGAGAATAAAAAACAATGTATCAAGATTATTAAATGCCTTTCTTCTACGTGTCCACTGAATAACATAACATATCTTTAAAACTACATGTGACTTGACATTGTTTTAGAAAGAATAAAACTACATGTGACTTGACAATGTTTTAGAAAGAATAAAACTACATGTGACTTGACAATGTTTTAGAAAGAAATAACGCAAACTAGCAATAGTCAGCATTTTAGTTTTGATCAGGTACATCTGGACCCCAGCCTCAGTCCAGATCGGTTCAACCGTTTCAACCGGATACACGAAAGTACCCTATGTTTTTGACAATGATCATTGACTTTATGTATAATAAAACTGTATTTTCAATGTTACATGTTTAATCAAATGAAATGTACATAGATGTGTATTTCTAATTTCCAGGATAACGAGTAATGTGTTAAAGGAGTTCTGCCCCACGTGTGGTAACAACACACTACAGAAGGTCACCATGACGGTGGAGGATGACGGCTCTATTCGCTACTTCCTGTCCAGACGTAGACCAGTCAGCACCAGGGGCACAAAGGTCAGTCAAAACCGAGAGTAATAGAGCTGAAAGGGAGCAAAATTCATTCAGTACATAGTGAGCTGTTGTCCTTGGCTCCGTTATAACTGCAACAAGGTCATGAAGTCCCATCAATCTATCAGTCAGAATAAACTAAAGCTTCTAAACTAAAGCTTCAATACGAGAAACAAAGGTTAGGCAGTACAGTGGGAACAAGTCAGTTATTTAAACTACAGAGAGAAAAAGAGCACTTCAAACTGAGTTGCAGAAATAAATGTCATGGCAGGGGTTTCAGTCGCTGATAGAGTTGGATGAAAACCTCAGATATCCCCAGTCAATCATACAAATCATGTTGATCTGTCCCATAGAAATTCAGAAATTCATTTTAAGAAATTATAACTTCATTGATATTTTTTTTTCCACTTCAGTTTTCACTGCCCTTACCAAAGGGAGGTAAACACGCTGTGAATCCTATTCTGGCTGAGGACACTCCTGTTGCCCAACAAAGGTCTACACGCAAGTCTAAACAGAAAATCGATGCTTTAAATCCTGATTTTGTTACTGGTAGCTCACCCTTCAACGTCAATGACATCACAAGCCGAGCCTCACAGCTAGGGATCAAACAAGGGCGCTCCTCCAACACATTCAACAAGAGAAACCCCAATGAAGTGCGCAAAAATTATGGAAAAAGGAAATAAATTATCAAGTTATCTAATCATGATAAACTTCCTGTTAATGTTTTAATAAAATTTGTATATGTGAAATATAACAATGTGATTTGTTTTTCTTTAAAAAAGTCTCAGATACATATATAATTATTTTTGTTACTGGCTGTTGGATAAAACATGTCAAATTGAAATCAATTGAGGGTGCATGGTTGTAACTTGTCCTACATCATACTTCATTTGGTTTACAAAGTTTTGACAGTGTGGCTGAATATTCAAATGATTGAGTTCACAGTTACTTACATATTTACTCCCCTGGCTTTTCCAGGATAGTGCTTATAAATCAGGCGTAAGTTGTATTGAGAAATACTGTGAAGGAAAACTACTAAAATATGATGAGGGGATTTTTTAAAACTAAATATGAGGATCAGTTGAATATTTTGTAAACACTCGCAAAAATTGTGAACTAATATTTTCATTCCCTCTATTGGAGAAAGCTATAGATGAGTCGGTCCATCACACTTGTTTCGGTGCAGGCTAAGTTTGATTGTCAATTTGATGCATGCATATTATACATAATTAGGGAGGAAAACCAACATCTGATCAGTAAATTGGTTTCCAAATTTAACAAATTGTGGTGTGCAGATGCAGTATAGTTGTTATGTAAATTAACTACAAAGACTGATTGTGCCAGCCTCTACATTTTGTGCATACATGTATTTAGAATCTATAGCTTAAGATTCAGTAGAAAGAAAATTTTCCTAGCAATTCTGCTAAGGATTCTCCATCCTTTTGAACAAAATGTCTGCACCACACCTCAACTGTTGGCTAGAGATGCATGTCCTGCACGGGAGGTTGGGGGGAATACATTCTGCAAGCTTTGGATGAAATCCTCAACCCGTACAGAATGGTAGATCAGGTAACGGGGTGATATGACAGTTGACCTTGACCTTGTAAGAAGAGTCACCCACTGCTTTGTTAAATCTTTGTCTTAAAGTTCTATTCCAGACTGGAAAATATTAACTTTCATATGATCTTCAAATTGTACGACCATTGAAAAACGAGGTGTAAAAGTAGTTCATGTTTTTCCCACTCCAGACACAAAGTCATGTAAGTCTTATTATCTAAAATTATAAATAAATTCTGTATCACAATAGTATATTGCAAATTTTTAATGTTAAAGTAATGATAAAATAAATTGTCATCTTCAACTTCAGAATTTGACCAGACCTAGTGAAACCATTTGCAACACTGACATCCAGAAATGTTTCCCTGAATGGAAGCTGGAAAAGTGTATTCTGAAGAGAAACATATGGTTTTTCTAGATATAATACCTGAACATTTTAGGAGGAAAAAGTCTTCATGATTGATCAGCATGTTTATCTAACTGTTGTAAGTTAATTTTCAAACTGTGAACCTTGTGTCTTTACACAATTTGAAAATTAACTATCTTACTACCATTGACATCCAGAATTTGACAAGAGCTTGTTAACACTGTCTCTTCATATCGATGTCCAGAACATGTCCTAACTTTATGGATGCCTTCACATTGATGTCCAGAACTTTGACATAAGCTTATACACACCATCCATCTCTTAACATTGACGTCCAGAGCTTCGACATAAGCTTATACACACCATCAATCTCTTCACATTGACGTCCAGAATTTTGACATAAGCTTATACTTAACATCGACGCCCAGAACTTTGACATAAGCTTATGCACACCATCCATCTCTTAACATTAACCTCCAGAACTTTTACATAAGCTTATACTTAACATCGACGTCCAGTAGTTTGACATAAGCTTATACACAGCATCCATCTCTTAACATTGACGCCCAGAGCTTTGACATAAGCTTATTCACACCATCAATCTCTTCACATTGACGTCCATAACTTTGACATAAGCTTATACTCACCATCCATCTCTTAACATTCACGTCCAGAGCTTTGACATAAACTTATACACGCCATCCATCTCTTCACATTGACGTCCAGAACTTTGACATAAGCTTATACTTAACATCGACGTCCAGAACTTTGACATAAGCTTATACACACCATCCATCTCTTAACATTGACGTCCAGAACTTTTACATAAGCTTATACTTAACATCGACGCCCAGAACTTTGACATAAGCTTATACACACCATCCATCTCTTAACATTGACCCTCAGAACTTTGACACAAGCTTAGACACACCATCCATCTCTTAACATTGACGTCCAGAACTTTGACACAAGCTTATACACACCATCCATCTCTTAACATTGACGTCCAGACCTTTGACATAAGCTTATACACACCATCCAGAGCTTTGACATAAGCTTATACACACCATCCATCTCTTAACATTGACATCCAGAGCTTTGACATAAGCTTATACACACCATCCATCTCTTAACATTGACATCCAGAACTTTGACATACGCTTATACACACCATCGATCTTAACATCGACGTCCAGAACTTTGACATAAGCTTATACTTAACATCGACGCCCAGAACTTTGTGGACATCATCAATGGCATCACATTAACATCCCACAGAACATGTTGCTCCCACAAACACTAAAAGTTTCCTCACTCCTAACTCATTGAATGAATCTGCTAGGAGTTGGTAAACATTTTTTTTTACCCATTAGTGGGTAACACTTGTGACGTGATTTCATGGTTAAATTAAGTTACTTCTAATAATGACGTCCAGTAGCAATGCTTTACGACATTATCTGCCATTGTGATGACAATTGTTGCCCTTAATGGAGCTGGAATAGTGTATTCTGAAGAGCAACATGATTTTTCTAGATATAATACCTAAACGTTGTTGGAGAAAAAGTTCCCAAACACATGTTTGATCAGCATACCTGGTGTCTTTACACAATCTGAAAATTAAGTATCTTTAGTTAGATAAACAAGATAACCAATCACCACTCGTTGGTAACGTTTTATATTTCTGTTACAGATGTAACCTGTTTTCTTCATACTGGAACAGTATCAGAAGGTCTATTACACCTTATTTATGTTATTCTTTCCATTCTAATGAAGAAACAACACAAAATGATTTTCCTGTATTACCTTTTTTTTTATTGTTAACATTTTTTTACATGAACATTTTTTTTTTGATGCATAAAATATTTTTTTCTGTCAAATACAAACAAAGTAATGATAAACATTGGCTATCATTGCAGTCTTGACAAAGGTCCTTGCTTACACCATACACGGGATACACACTCAACAATGCACAGATAAGTTAAATAGCAATTTAATATACACAAGTTCACATGGAGATTTTTTTGTCCTTTTTTTTGTGGGTAATTTTTTATAATACATTTTTGTATATATATACAGTCTTTAATATACATACCTTCGCCCTCTCAAAATCTGTTATTCCGCTGCTTTACTTCATTGTGTATTAATTATAAGTTTGCAAATAAGAATTGCACATCCATGACATATAATTTACATACATACTTGCAAATGTCAATTATAAAACAAATACTTTGAGCAAAAGAAATTTTACATCAATTGTGTATATCTTTTAGTGTATTTTTAATGCTAAGGCAAATAAGATCAAACACATTTAAAATCAGTCAAAATATCTAAATCAATATCTAAAAGACACAAAAAATTAAACAATAATTATATTTTTACAACATAAATTTCCAATCAAATTTTTTTTGTGTGCTTGTAATCTTATTTCATTTTTTGAAACATTTATAAATTTGATACACAAATATGCATAAAAAAAATATAAAATAACCCTCTTAAAACACAGGTTATCCAGATTATATTTTTTACTTTAAAAATATACCTTTTAAGAATTACAATTTTACTATGTAACTGTATTTCTTAAGAAATCTGTTTCTGATTCCCACGGTACTCCTCTGTTACTACATGCAAGTTTGTGTATTATCTTTTTTTTGTGTGGGATGAAGGTGAAAATTTCAAATATCTTACTACTGTATATCTCAATCTGTGTGCATGTTTGATATTACTTTCATAAAATAGATACAAATGCATCCAGGAAAATCAATGTTGAAATTATCTACAAAATGCAGAACTACCCAAGATACTGTACAACTCCAAAAATAATATCAATATTTTAAACCCCTAGACCATTTCATGGTTCTTTTATCAAAAGGCTGATTTCAATTTCTGGATTTTATTTAACCCTTAAGTTGGGAACAGAACTTTGTTTAACCCCCAAGTGGTCTTATACGTGATTTTAAAGAGATAAGTTCATTATTTTGAATATGTTTGTTTTTCTCAACTCCTCTTTTACTATGAAAGGCACTTTAAAAGTGGATTTTCTATAGATGTGGAAATTTGTGGAATCATTTTCATTTTCAACATCAAGAATATTACTTTATATGATAGTCAAATGAGGAAAATTCCACATATGAAGTTATTTTTAATGTTTATAACAAGAATAGTATGAAAGCTAGAAATCACGTGTATCTGGTACACAGAGACCAATTTTAGGCAAAAGAAAATGTTAACTGCTGCAATGACACAATTCAGGAAAGTTAGGGAATTTGTAGCTACAGGGAACTCCATCTTATGACTCCAAAATCATGTGTAGATTAAAAGTTAGTATGTACAAAGCACTATTGTATCATATGGCATGTCTTAAAATATGACAAAGGAGAAGGAATCACTATGGGAAACAACGCTAAACATTCTGTCATCTATACAATATTTGATTCATTAAAAATAAACCTGATGAAAAATAAAACATGCTTGTGAAGTTGGTGGGGAAAAAATACATGTAGGTCTTGGACTTGTTATAATATGTTGTCACAAAGTTTTAAGGCTTTCAAGTGGGATGATTGAAAGAAAAGACATTTTCGCATTTTCAGTTGAGATATCTTCATGAACAAGATTCTTTATCAGAGAATAATTCAAACCTTAAATTCCCCAGTCACACTACTCAACCTCCTAGGTCACAATTACACCAACAAATGTTAACACTGGCACATTGTTATATATCAAACTTCACTCTCTCTGGCAAATAAAACAATTGAAAATTAAAATGGGGGTCGCATCTCAATATTGTTGCTATGGAAACAACCACCATTGCAGCGAATAAGCTACAACAAAATAAATCTACACAATGTTATTTTAACACAATAAATGGTAACACAATCTGTATGTATTGTTGTAATACGTGTCCACTGTATTACAACAGCACTGCTTCAACAAGCCAAGTGAAAATACACGATTTTTAAAGAAAATTCTCAGGGTGGAGGGTTAGGGTTCTTGACCCCCCCCCCCCCAAAAAAACCCTCTGGATCCACCACTGGCACTAGTAACACTTCTTTGCTTTGGGAAATAAAACACGTCCACATGTAACAATGATTCTGTAACACTGGAAAATATCTACAATTATAGTAACTGGTATACTCAATGTAGTATTATATATAAACTGTGTGTATCAGCACACAGTAAATCTTTGCTCGAGTCTTAAACAAATTCTAAAATTTCCTCATTCATTGTGTGATGAAAATAATACCACAAAATGTGTCCATATTTTTTATATGAAAATTTAAAATGTTGATGGTTTAAAGCAACATTTGATTACACATACATGAAATGTTGCTTTTATCCGATAACCTCGTCAGTCTGTAAACTTGTGTTTGGCAAGGAAAACATATTTTGATTATTATGCATGACCTTACAGATTTATTGTCAGGTATATCATATAGTGTTGATTTCACAAAAATCAAGAAAAATATCACTGTTTAAAGTTTTACACAGTTAATTACCAGTAACCTTAAAAAAGTTTCAGCATCTTCACCTAAACCTAGATAACAGTAGTAACAACCTTATTCATGTTTATGATTAAACTTTGGAGAATGATATCACATACAAAAGTCAAAACCCATTAGCTGTTATAGTTTTAGTGCCTATATGTCTGGTCTGGACAAGATTCTAAAGACGCCTTTGTTGAAGTGTATTGAAGTGTATTATTAGCTTGAAGCTTGTTGAAGTGTATTATTAGCTTGAAGCTTGTTGAAGTGTATTATTAGCTTGAAGCTTGTTGAAGTGTATTATTAGCTTGAAGCTTGTTGAAGTGTATTATTAGCTTGAAGCTTGTTGAAGTGTATTATTAGCTTGAAGCTTGTTGAAGTGTATTATTAGCTTGAAGCTTGTTGAAGTGTATTATTAGCTTGAAGCTTGTTGAAGTGTATTATTAGCTTGAAGCTTGTTGAAGTGTATTAAAACTATCTTGACTTCAAATTAACGTCTCTTCCTGTTAGGAGTTGCATAAATCCTTGTAGAACTGTAAGTGAAAGAGATGCAAAATATCTTATCTACAGTCAAAACTGTTGTGTTCATGCATGTATGTGTCAACTATATACATGTATATGTTGGGTGTTTTTTTTTACTTTTATATAAATCTGGTTGAAAGATCTTTTAGCAAGGATTGTCTTGAATCAAAACTATTCATAGAAATGGGTCTGAAATGTACTGCAGACTTGCTACGCTAAGTCGAACACAAACACTTCAGGAAGATAAGATGACACTAGCTTTTGTGATAGTTAAATGATCTTAACTGCAGCAAGCTTCTGATAAAAAGATCAAATTGTTTTCTCCACCACTGATCAAATACAACTGATTTATGTGTTAAAACATTGGCTTATAACACACTACTATAATCTCCTAGCATTAACATTAACTGATGTTTATGAATAAAATGAAAGTTATAAATATTCTTGAAATTATATTGCCCCGTACAATCCACTCTAAATTAAAAAAGTTGTGACAACTATTGTTAAATTATTATAGAGGGGAAAATGTTGCAATGTTGTTGTTTCAATCATAATTATATCAAACAAAATGAATAAAATATTGATGAGTAAAACATGCTTTGAAATCTGGAAAAAACTTGAAAGGAAATTTAAATTTCCCTGTATGTTTTGTTTTATAAATGTGTGGTTATGATTGGAGATAGATTGAATTATTAATCGGACACTTAGCACAACAATGAAATGGCATGATATCACAACGTAAGCACCAGAGTAGGATAAAATAAATATTGGTAACAAAATCTAAAACAACCGCACATAATGCTCTACAAAAATACAAAATTGTGTTGTTGGCAACGAATGGATTAAACACGAGATATAACATAGGTTTGTATTCTAACCAGCGTGACTATAGTAACACCTACATTTACTAACCAACGCTACTATGGCAACACCTATATTTACTTACCACCGTTACTACGGTGACACCTACATGTACTGACAAAAGTTCTGAGTGCGACATTTACATGTACCATCAAATATTACTTTAGAGTCGTGTGATAGCATTCCGATGGTAACATGGACATGGACATGTACTAGCGTTACTAAGGTGCCATCTTTGTGTAATAGCGTTACTATGGTAACATGGACATGAACTAGCGTTACCATGGTAACATGGACATGTACTAGCGTTACTATGGTGACATCTTTGTGTACTAGCGTTTCTATGGTAACATCGACATGTACTAGCGTTACTATGGTGACATCTTTGTGTACTAAAGTTACTATGGTGATAACTACATGTATTGACAAACATTCCCATGGTGACAGACTAATGTTCCTATAGCGGTGTCTACATGTTTTTGTGTCTTTATTTTAAAAAGATGCCCAGTACTGACAACCTGTCAATAATACTCAAACCTCTGTAGAACCAGATTAAAAAAGATTTCTTCTTTATAAATTTGACATTTGTGAACTTGTACATGGATCAAATTGATTTATTTCAAAGAATTGTATAGCCTTTCACTTTACAAGGTTCAGCCAAACATCACAACAGTCAACTCTAGGGCTCCTAGTTGACCTGGACTTTGAAATGGGTTTAATAAATTCATAAAATCAAGTTTGATAGCCCTTTACCACAACATACTACAGAACAAACCTCATGACTTATGGTTCTGGCAGTAGATATTTTACTAGAAGTTTTCAACACGTATGACCTGTGACTTTATATAGGCCAATGTAATTTATTTGGCCAAATTCATCTAACTGTAAAACAGTTTTGCAGTTGTATATTTATTTTTAACATTAGACCCTTTTGAATTTAAAAGTCATTTGTTTTAATGAACTTCATTGCCTTTAATCCTAGCAAGTTCTGGACATTATAGTCCTGCAGAACTGGTTTAAAGTTTTTAAACTTTTTGAATGTATCTCGATACCCCTTATCACAGACCAAATATAACAGTAGTTGTTAGAAGTTTTAATCATGAACCTAGTGTCATTTAAATGAGTCCAGGTAACCAATTGAATAGCACCTACCACGATAAACTACAGGCTAAATATCATGATCTTGGTTCAATATATGCAATTGTTTCAAGGGAATCTTACAGATGAAGGATTGACACTATGCCCTTGTATGGCTCACATGTCCTTCATGCAAGGTGCACCAAAACAATTTTCCAGTCTTTTGCTTACTGTTTCAGAAAATTATTTTAACCGGCTATGTCGTCAAAACTTATCTAATTTATGTCACTATTTACTGGAATCAACTTCAAAAACATTTACCTAAGTCAAACAATATGTTGGAAATATGCTGGGCTGAAGATGCACCAACAAATTAAACATAAAAAAGATTAACTTCACAGCACCTAATAAAAGACTTGTTAGGCAAATGTAACACAACTAACGATTAGTATCAAATACATCAACACATAAATCACAATTTAAAACTCGATGTTTGTGTTTGAATTAATACATTGTAATTAAAATGCTCTGAGCATCTCAAGAGGTTTCATCTCCTCAACCAGAATGTGTAACCAGAAGTGGTACAGCAAATCACGATCTTTTGGATGAAGTATTACAGAAATGAGATTTTGTGTTCTAATTGAGCCCATTTAACCCTTTCACCACTATGTATGAGTCCATTATGGTCTACAGTGGTGAAAGGGTTAAGATAGAAATAGCATGTTTACCGATATTTTAACCTCATACAAATAATAAACAAGCATAAATAATATACCGTGAAAATCGTCCTCATGTAACAACAAACACCATGGTCCATGCTCTTGAAAAAATCTACGACACTGGCAGATGTCTACTTTAAGCTTTTGCACAGATTTGTTTGTCTTTGAAAACAGCAACGTCATTGTACAGTATAAACTTAATGTATAATGATTCTAGACTAGTACATGAGGTGGATGATGATTTAAAGTCACAACTCTTTGTGTCATCATTAGAATACATTTGGGTAGCACAGTAGCAGTAACTCCAGTCTGACTAGTCTACAGGCTAACAACTAACAGTTTATACACGGTTCTTCATCACTAAAATTGCAATCAATCTAATAAGCTTTCATTATAGGAACACACCGACCTTTGAAAATAAACACAAGTTTGACTAGACTTTTTCACAAAAGCCAATTTCTTCCTTTCATATTTTCATCTTTTTAACATACACTAGATTTGCAGGTATCAAACGTCCTATTGCGGTCTTTATGGCTATACAGGTATTGTTAGGCAGTCTGTAGGGCTACATATTGATATCATTCAAACCTTCTACTGCAATCTATACGGGTTCACTGATACATTTACATAGAGATTGATACATCCCCAAATGCTGAAATTATTCTTGATATGCATCCAAACACATGTTCCAGAAACCTTTCAAATTCAAATCAGTAGATCGTTCACACCGACTAGACCTAATCAATACAACTGTGGAGCTTTAACAATGAGCAGGTATGATTTGTATTATTATAATATGCGTAACGGCCCACAACACAACAATTAAAATCAATTGAAACTAAACTTTCAGAAAAACAAAAGGAAATTCTTCACAAGATAATCTCGTTTCAAAGTGTCATAACAAGTCAGAGGTCACAAAGGTCATTAAGGTCAGTAGGACAGAGGTCATTAAGGTCAGAAGGACAGAGGTCATTAAGGTCAGTAGGACAGAGGTCATTAAGGTCAGTAGGGACAATGTTTGAGGTGATTAGGTTTCAATTTAATATGTCTGGATTGCCATTTACATCAAATGTCACAAGTTTCACACCTGGAATCAATAATGCAAGCAATACATCTATAAATAGTACAATGTCTGTCTTCACAGAATATATGTCGAAAATAATATATTCAACATTTAGTTCACATTAACCTATTAAAATGGAATTGATTGAATATTACCAAACATTTCTAGCTATGTCCCTATCTCTGGAAGTCAACTTTGACAGGTCATCATTCCCACAAAAACCTTGAAATAATTCATGTAAAAGTGATGGTATCATACTTCAAAGTCATGCTAGTGTTCAGCTCCACTGTCATGGTAGAATGCTGTAAAATGGGAGCTGGGTATAATTTTCTTTAAAAACTTCACAATGATAATGTTTAAATACACTTCAATTCCTCAGTTAGGTTGAGCCTCTTAAAATCCAGATTAACAAATATATACATCAAACATTTTTCAAATACTGTATCTGACAACAGTACAAATAAACATTGGACAAAGTACATTTGGTTCTGTGATGTAACGAACACATCAACCAATGCATATGATTTTTGATTTTCTTCTTAATTGAAAACTACAGTCTGTGCTTCAAGATTCCATTGTCAGTAAGTAATTGCTGAAGAGCTGCATTGTTGAATGATTACAGGTAATCCAATATCTATTTCTGTCTACAAAACTTTTCATTTACCTACGGTGTTACCATACACGAGGTTGGATTTTAAAAAGTCGGAACCAAAGCTCCTAAAGTCAAGGCTTTCTTTGTGCATATTTACAAATAAAACAGTGTCATATCAATAACACAACAGGAAGAAAACTACTTTGCAGGATTTTGAATAATAAACAAAATAAAATTGGCATCCTTTGAGTAGACACACTTGATAAAAGACTTTCCATCACGAAGCATTTGTGCTATAGACTTACATACTGTTCAACTCTTACAGGTAAAACCTAGACCTGATAAAACAGGACTTTCCAATATGAAGCACTCACACTGACCTTTCACACTTTTCAACTCAAACAGGTCAAACAGGATTCATGGTAAATCTTCTTAAGGTAAACAATCTTTTTTTTTCCTGGTTAAACCAATAACCAATACTATCTGGTAAATTATTCATGATTTGCAACTGGTAATCAACTCTTCAGAAATTTTGTAAAACAAAGTACCGGTTAAAATATATTCCACATGATTTAATGATAAAGTTGATCTTTTCCAACTTTCTCTTGTTAACCAGTAAACAACATATATATTGTGCAGATTGTTGTTGAAAACTGGTGATTGTTGTCTCATACCAGGTATGTCAACTCAAAATCAATCTTTAACATCTTGTAAATATCAATATATACTTGTAGCCTTAGCTTCATCACTCAAACCACACCTGTGTTATCAGACCATACCCTTCACATTAGAAGCCACACCCTCCACCTGCAGCCACATCTAAAACAGTGGCAGCCTACCCTATATCATAAAGCACCCCCTTCTGTGATAGCAAAACTTAAAAATACAAGTATTGGCCACACCAGTAGCCACACAATGTTAACATCAATCATTGTATAAAGTAGGATAAGAGTTGATATGTCAACATTTTCTCTCCATCCTATTGAACATGACTAAGTTTGCTCCTCCCTCCTAGTGAACACGGCTGAATTTGTCTTTCCATCCAACTGAACACAGCTTAGTTTTCTCTCCATCCTATTGGACGTGAATGAGTTTGTCTTTCCCTCCGCATGAACATGGCCAAATTTGTCTCTCCTTCCCATCGAACATGACTAAGTTTGTCTCTTCCTCCTGCTAAACATCAAAAAGTTTGTCCTTCTTTTCTACTGACTGCTGCCAAATTTGTCTCGCCTTCTGTGGATTGTCTCCCCTAGATGAATGTTTCTCAGTCCGAATTTGATTTTGGCTCGTAGTTCAACCTAAAGTGACCTGTATCAAAGAGGAAATACAATGAATTTGATGTAATGTAAGTATCCATATGTTGATTATCAGGTTTTTTTAAATCTTGTTCATTATTCCTAAACTACTCTTAAGTCAACATCATTGCAACAGTTTGGTCATCTGCATTATTATTTATACCGAATAAACAGTGTCCCTTAAATATCTACCCACAAAGTGTTCTCATCTCCACTAATACACACAAAGTGTTCTCATCTCGACTAATACTTACCAACAAAGTGTTCTCATCTCGACTAATACTTACCCATAAAGTGTTCTCATCTCGACTCTTACTTACCCACAAAGTGTTCTCATCTCCACTAATACGCACAAAGTGTTCTCATCTCTACTCTTACTACCCCACAGTGTTCTCATCTCTACTCATACTTACCCACAAAGTGTTTTCATCTCGACTCTTACTTACCAACAAGGTGTTCTCATCTCGACTGTTACTTCCCAACAAAGTGTTCTCACCTCGACTAATACTTACCAACATAGTGTTCTCATCTCGACGCTTACTTACCCACAAAGAGTTCTAATCTCGACTCTTACTTGCCAACAAAGTGTTCTCATCTCGACTCTTACTTACCCACAAAGTGTTCTAATCTCGACTCTTACTTACCAACAAAGTGTTCTCATCTCGACTCTTACTTACCAACAAAGTGTTCTCATCTCTACTCTTACTAACCCACAGTGTTCTCATCTCGACTCATACTAACCCACAAAGTGTTCTCATCTCGACTCATACTTACCCACAAAGTGTTCTCATCTCTACTCTTACTAACCCACAAAGTGTTCTCATATCGACTCTTACTTACCCACAAAGTGTTCTCATCTCGACTCATACTAACCCACAAAGTGTTCTAATCTCGACTCTTACTGTTCTCATCACGACTCTTACTTACCCACAAAGTGTTCTCATCTCGACTCATACTTACCCACAAAGTGTTCTAATTTCGACTCTTACTGTTCTCATCTCGACTCTTACTTACCCATAAAGTGTTCTCATCTCGACTCATACTTACCCATAACGTGTTCTAATCTTGACTTATACCTACCCACAAAGAGTTCTCATCTCTAGTCTTACTTATCCACAAAGTGTTCTCATCTCTACTCATACTTACCCACAAAGTGTTCTCATCTCGACTTTTACTTACCCACAAAGTGATCTCATCTCAACTCATACTTACCCACAAAGTGTTCTCATCTCTACTTTTACTTACCCACAAAGTGTTCTCATCTCGACTTTTACTTACCCACAAAGTGTTCTAATCTCGACTCTTACTTACCCACAAAGTGTTCTCATCTCTACTCATACTTACCCACAAAGTGTTCTCATCTCTACTTTTAGTTACCCACAAAGTGTTCTCATCTCGGCTCATACTTACCCATAAAGTGTTCTCATCTCGACTCATACTAACCCCCAAAGTTTTCTCATCTCGACTCTTTCTGTTCTCATCTCGACTCTTACTTACCCATAAAGTGTTCTCATCTCGACTCATACTAACCCTCAAAGTGTTCTCATCTCGACTCTTACTTTTCTCATCTCGACTCTTACTTACCCACAAAGTGTTCTCATCTCGATTCTTACTTACCCACAAAGTGTTCTCATCTCGACTCATACTAACCCACAAAGTGTTCTCATCTCGACTCTTACTGTTCTCATCTCGACTCTTACTTACCCACAAAGTGTTCTCATCTCGACTCATACTTACCCATAAAGTGTTCTCATCTCGACTCATACTTACCCATAACGTGTTCTAATCTTGACTTATACCTACTCACAAAGTGTTCTAATCTCGACTTTTACTTACCCACAAAGTGTTCTCATCTCGACTCTTACTTAACCATAAAGTGTTCTCATCTCGACTCTTACTTACCCACAAAGTGTTCTCATCTCGTCTCTTACTTGTAAACCCACAAAGTGTTCTTATCTCGACTTTTACTTACCCACAAAGTGTTCTCATCTCGACTCATACTTACCCACAAAGTGTTCTCATCTCTACTCATACTTACCCACAAAGTGTTCTCATCTCTACTCTTACTTACCCACATAGTGTTCCATAGAGTTCTCACGACACTCCGCTGAATTGTGATCTGGTGACCCACAGTTGCTACAGGAGGCTTTGCGTGACTTCTCCTCGCGGCTGGGCTGGCGCACCAGGGTGTGGTAAGGGTAATATCCTGAAGAACCCCTCTGAGCCATAAAAGGTGTCGGAACCCCGTGAGATATAAACGGGTGGTTATTGAGAGACAGAATGTCTGGTGTGAGGCCATTGGGAAAGTTATTTGGCTGTGGTATATGGTAGGGGATACCTGGGTACCGTAACATCTGTGGTACAAGTCCGTTTGAGGTGGAGAAGTGCGGGGACATATGCCAGAAGGGAGCATGGGTGAGTGGGTGAGGAAGGGAGTTAGTGTGATAAGGATAGGTGGCCGGGTAGGCATGACCACATGGACTCCCACACGAGCTGCAAGTGGCACTTGAACAGGTGGTGCTGGCCTGGCTGGTGGCGGCATGCATGATGTGTGACCCGGTGCAGCCGGTGGTGGCTGCTGGACTGGGACTCGAGTTCTGCACCATGGGTGCCACAGAGTGAATGTTTTCCTGCGGGCCACAACCAGCCTCAACTGACAGCTGACCATGGCTATTGGAATTCTTTAAGCTGTTTGCCGGATGACCAGGATGGATGGCTGCGCAGCTCACAGGCTGTGTTGCCATGGTAATGGATGTGGCATTTGTAACGTTACAAGTGAAGCCGCGCTGGTTACCATTGATTAGTGGTGACCTGATCTGGTATCCCGGAACTTGAGGTACTGGCATCCAGTTAAAATTGTGTTTATTTGGATCCATGAAATTGAACCCTGAATTAGCGGAACTGTTGGCAGCAGTCATGACACTTGTGGTGATAGTTTGACCATCACTGCGAGGTATGTGGGGAGCCATTCCAATAGGTATGCCTGCAAATGGACCGTTACGCTTGAGAGCCTCAGGCGGCATGCTGATAACATGTTTGGTTGGAATATTATGGTTAGTGTGAGCAGGCTGGGCCTTGTAGTTAGGTCGATTTATCATTGACGGAACACGTGGCAGGAACGCTGATGGAGTGGGATCTGACTGATACCCACTTCCCATTGGTGGTACAGGAGGACCCTCCCCATGCACAAACATCGGGTTGGGCACTCCAGGAAGGAGCGGGACAGAATTGGGGTCCTCCAGGCCCATTGGTGAGGGAACTTGGTGCTGGCTAGGGTGTCGTCCAGTTTCCATTCCTGCAAGTTTGTCTGCGGTAAAAAGTAACAGGTCAGAGACAAGGGGATACACACTACCATATGTTTTAGTCTATAAATTATAGGGTATTAAAACAAATGTTTGAATGACACATGTTCAAATTTCCCACCTTTGACAAGTCAACATAATATACACTATACAGTTTCTATTTAACAGTGCATTTTATGACATAAATATGATTAATAAGAATTACATTTTATCTTGTTGACTTTCTTCTTTTTTCTTTAACATTCACATTCAGATTTAAAAGGACATCTAACATTTTCTGTGAAGTTTGAAGTTTGAAGTTTTTGCAGACAAACCTTTTGTACATAGTTCACTTAATGTTTGGTTTGGTTTGTTTGTGTTTTACGTCCTATTAACAGCTATGGTCATTTAAGGACGTGCCAGGTTTTGGTAGTAGAGGAAAGCTAGTGTTCCACTCCTAGTTCATTCACAAACTAAAAATTCTTTTTTCGATCAATAACTGCCCTATTCTTTCACGATTTTTCAACTTTCATTCACATCTTACATATCTCATTCATAACTTTACGTATATATTTAAACATGGTTCATATTTAAAAATAAACTTCATAAATTTATTTCCTTTCTATTATTTTTTTTGCATAAATGTGTCTGGAGATGCTTTTTATGGATAAACCCACCTTTCTCATTATCATCTGAGGAGCTGTCCGAGTTCCTTGGCACACTGTTTGGCATGAGGATGGCTGTGCCCTTTTTCTGTGGCCGAGGACTTGGGGAGGGGCTGGAGTAGTCGGAGCCAGTTGGAGAGCTGTCACGCGTCTGGGTGAGACCCGGGGGACCGGGCGGGAATGCTGAGTAAATGAACATGTGTGGGTAGAGGGGGGGCTGGGCCAGTGCCCCTCCTTGGGGATGGACGGGCAATTGGTGAGGAAAAGGCATAACCATTGGGGGCGAAGGATGGCAGCGGGGTCCAAGAGGGCCTTCAATCAAGCCATTGGGCGGGTGCGACATCTTCTCCCTGTGAATAGGAATGAGATAGTGTAAATATAAATGGCAGAACACCTAACTTTGATGTAAAAATCTTAGCATTGAATTTATTGACACTTATTATGGTAGAGCTTAACTCTTATTAAAGTATGTACATGTATAAGGAAGTAGGAAGTCATTGGGCCTTACTGTGTTTATACAGTTCATCTTACTATCAATGACGAGGAATCTGAATGGATATGGATAGTGTAGAATAGGAAATTAGTGTGTACAGTGAGCAATTGTTATTTTCATACCAGTGATGAGCAGATGATCAATTATAATAAAAAGCCAATTGGTTTGCCCTTTCCGATCCCTATCATCGATTACAATTGATATATAATCGGTTCATAACTGAAATCAAAGTATTTAAATGTCTTCTAAGTTAAGTATGCTTTGAAAGTCACATATTGTTACAATTTATACTATATAATTGACAAAAATGCATAAAAGCTGCTTGGTATCCATCCATTATAAAATAATGAGACCTAATGTATAGTTTACAACTCTGTCTTTTGATGTAATGACGTAGTGTTCTCATTTTATTTGGGTATTCAGTCCCACAAAACTGTATAAACCGCTTATGCAATCGATCATTGATCAGCCGATTATGATTTAAAACCGATTGCCCATCACTATTTCATACATTACCAAAGTCTCAGATAAAAGGTATGATAAAGGAATTGGTTGCTGTATTTTAAGACAGTAGCAGTTATTGCTGCTCTATTATAATATTGTAATACAGGTTCATTCCTCCAATCCCAGTTCAGAACTTTAATGTATTCAATATTTGGAATGAAAGCAAACATATTACACAGCAACTTTTGTAACACTCCAATCACATATTTATATCGTAGTTATTTGAGTGAAAAAGACCCCGTGACTGTATTTGATCTTACCTGTAGATCAACTCTGCCTCAGCTTTGAGTTTTAAGGCCTCTTCCTTAGATAGTCCAATCTGGATCAAATCCTCTATTTTCATGACACATAGCTGAAATTTGTTGGATTAAAATCAAATAAAACAAATCCCAGGGTTATCTTATTACAGTTAATAAATCACTTTATTTTTACAAGAGATTCACTCTAACATTTAATAGTTCACCAGGAAATTTGTTTGTGAAATACAATCTTCTGTGAATATAATTTCACTGTCAGATAATTTCATTGATAAAAACTATCAGTATTAAAAGAGCACCTGTTTGATTGCACATGAGAGAATTTTTATAGACAAACAATTCACAAAAATACATGTGAAAATATCTTTACCCGGTACACTTTGTTTCTATCTTGGTATTGATTTCTACATATTCAGATACACATTGAAAAGAATAGTTGTCACTTGCAAATAAATTGCATGACAAAGTAACATGTGTCTACTCTATGCAACACTCTACATACACACATACACATTATCTTATATAGACACATGTTCAGTTTATATATAATATTACCTGTTACAATCTGCATCTTTTCTGATTTACCAGAGTAACGAAACACCCGGTACAAACTATACGAGTTCTGGTAAACCTGAGTTATCTGACACCCTGTACAATGCATACATGTTCTAAACTTCCAAATTTACTTGACACCCTGTACAATGTTTATTTGTGTTAACATATCTGAGTTGTCCGACGCCCTGTACGAACTGTTCTGATATACTTAATTTACTTGACACCCTGTACAAACTATATCTGTTCTGACATATATGAGCTGTCCGACGCCCTGTACGAACTGTACCTGTTCTGATGTGTACTTCTCCAAATAGTTTCTATGTTTCTGAAGGTTAAGCTTGCTGAGAAGGAACTGAATCAGGGCCAATTCTGGATTGTGATTTGTGTCGCCAGGTGAGTTGGACCGACTGTTGCTAGGTGAGGCCCCGTTGGAGGACTGTGGAGACGGGTGTGGTGAGGCAAGTCCCATGGGTCTGAAATACCAGCATTGTCGATTAATTATATGTTCAAATTCATGTTTCTCATCAAGTCTACGAATCACTTAATTTCACAACAAATTATCTTTATTAAATTTCTATTGAGTACTACCTTTGGATTGACATCACAGGCTTGTTGCTGACTTGTCCTTTGAGAGGTACACAGCTCATACCCGTCACATCTGAAACGGAATTGTAACATAAATAACCCACATTAATTGGTTAATATTTTTATAAGAGGGACATGAAGCTGCCATGAAAATGTATCCAATATCCTGTTGATACAATTTTATTGGTCTATGGCGCCATTTATCATGGACAAAAATGCTTAAAAGATTATCTTAAAGATGGGCCTTACTTTCACTGAAGTGTTTTTTCAGGATGCTTTCAAATAATTTAATTTTTAATCATTTTATGTTAGGTTTAAAATCTCTCTGTTAACTTCCACACTGTTATAGTAGAAATGTCTTTAGTGAACTTCAATATTTACTCATTTACCCCTGAAGACACATAAGAACTCTTCCCATTCAAAGGTTGGAATAGTTCGTTATGAAATTCCAGGGGTGAATGAGCTAAAAGTTTCTATTTTCTTTGAAAGGCATTACATTATACCGGATTATTGAAAGTTCAGTAACTATTCCTATTTTACAGTAATCAATGTTCTTGATATATAGATAGAACTTGTATTCCTCACCGACATTGTCCATGGTCTGTGGCAGGTGTGAGTTGTGTATTACCAGAGGCTGGGCTGGATGGTGGTTGGATATCACAGATTCTGTGGCTGGTAAAACAAAACGCTCTATTCAAACAATGATTTCATGAACAAACTGATGCCCTACTTGTGATGTTATGTTATTTCTCTTAGGAAAATTGGTAAAAACAGTGTTTAAATTTGAATCTAGAACTATTACTGGTGCAGTTGTTTCAATTTTGTACCAACAGGTCATACACAATACATCTGATCCTTTGTCGACAGGACCTTCAATTACAAGCTATAAGAGTTTCAAGATGGCTGCCACTGTGGCCTTGTTTAATAACTGGCCAATCCCAATTTTCATTCAGGCCAAACTACAGACCAAGTTCAATACACTAGTAAAGATTTCATGAAAAGAGGACCTTCCGTTTTTCTGCAGTAATAATAACAAATCTTTAATAGACAATAAATGATACACCATGACATAAATAAGCTCTTTTGGTTTTTGTTCTATAGGGTTGAAAGGTTAATTCGAAATTTACAACTGAAATATATAATTAATTTACCAGTGATGTTTTATTAAACATGTGTGTTCACTTCATCAGTATAGTCACACCGACAGGAGTCGTTACTAGGATAGAGATAATGACAAAAACTACTCCAGAGAAAGATAATTACAAGCATATATATACCATGACCTATTTGAGGGAAGATAGATTGGTACTTGTGTAAATATGACATTTATCGATACAAGGGGAACTTTTTAAGTTGAACAATCCTTTTCGCCTAAACATTTTTATAAAGTTCAATCAAGCAGGAAGTGACGAACTATTTTTCAATAGGCATCTCAAATACATATTTTTCTTCTATCTTCTGAAATTAAATGGTGTATATATATTTGACGCCATTGTGCAGTTACCTTCGGAGACATTCCTGCTGATGGGATTGGGCACAGCCTTGACAGGGCACTCGGCAGGTGGACAAGCGGATCCTGCTGGACTAGGAGGGGACGTGGAGGCAGTATTACACCCCTGCTGGAAAAACTGCTTCACAAGGTCACACTCCAGTATAGACTGTGACTGCTGTGTAAGTTGTCTGTAAGTATAGGTAAATGGTAAGTAACGGGAAACTTTTTCTTACCAAAGCTAAATCAATTGTTAATAAAGGTAAGTTGTTTGCAAAGTAAGGTAAGTTGTCTGCAAAGTAAAGGTAAGTTGTCTGCAAAGTAAAGGTAAATTGTCTGTAGGTAAAGGTAAGTTGTTTGTGAGTTATCGTTAGTTATTCTAGTTATTTCAGGACTATACAAGTGTGTCAGAGGTGTACCTCAGCTGTCTGACAGGACAATACAAGTGTGTCAGAGGTGTACCTCAGCTGCCTGACAGGACTATACAATTGTGTCATGGGTGTCCCTCAGCTGTCTGACAGGACTATACAAGTGTGTCAGAGGTGGACCTCAGCTGTCTGACAGGACTATACAATTGTGTCAGAGGTGTACCTCAGCTGTCTGACAGGACAATACAAGTGTGTCAGAGGTGTACCTCAGCTCTCTGACAGGACTATACAAGTGTGTCAGAGGTGTAGTTCAGCTGTCTGACAGGACAATACAAGTGTGTCAGAGGTGTACCTCAGCTCTCTGACAGGACTATACAAGTGTGTCAGAGGCGTACCTCAGCTGTCTGACAGGACTATACAAGTGTGTCAGAGGTGTAGCTCAGCTGTCTGACAGGACAATACAAGTGTGTCAGAGGTGTACCTCAGCTGTCTGACAGGACTATACAAGTGTGTCATTGGTGTACCTCAGCTGTCTGACAGGACTATATAAATATCACCAGTATTAAATCATAAACATGAAATTTTAAATTAAGACAGAAATCCAAGATAAATCTAATACTGTACTAAAAGGGATTTAAATGACAATGTTCGAACAAAAGACCTGACAAGGGACAGGAACCTTAAGTCATTCAACTTAACAGATAAATCCTCCAGTTAGCTGTTATAGGTCATATGTTTTAAAAGGCAGATTGGAGACAGTAAATAAACTAGAAAACAGATACAAGAGTTACTTACTTCGTGTAGCTAATAATGTCTTCTCGGGTACCTGAGCTTGCATTACCTACAGAAATCAACACAAATCTTTGTGAAAAAAATAACCAATCCAATTCAATAACATTTTATGATATATCTTACCTTTCTAAACTAATCTGTTTTGAGGGATTTTACAATAAAAATCTTTGTACTTTATTACAAATTATAAAGATTATCATAAATAGGAAGGTAAATAAATACTATAATTTAAAACAGAACATATTACCTGCCTTACTGTAAACTACAATTGATTTGCTCCCCATCATTTTGCTTAAAGGCTGTTTAAAACTAGAACACTTACAGGTCAGTAAGGGCCCCGTCTTGTGGCAATATACCCCCCATAATCATCAAGAAGCAATCTGCCCCTATAGCTGAGCTTGACGTTTGACATTTGGACTTCAAAAAGAATCGCAAGGAATCAAATCACATGTACTATGATGTGAGTCTTGTTTCCTTCCACCTCCATATTTGCTGGGCTAACAGAAATGTAAATACCGGTGCAATACTCATTTGTTAGCTTTGATTTGTTTTATTTCACCTTATATACCTCCTCCATCAAGAGCCAGGGTCAAAGTCAGAGATCCACAGGACCCAAATGACCTTAACCATTAACCCAGTGACCCTGATATTTGGTCAGTTGACTTATTCTTTAATTCCGACCAACTTTGCTTCTTAGTATCATTACAAAATGTTCATCAGTGAAAAATACAAATCTTGACCTTGACACTTTGGACCCCGTAACCTGGACCTAAGGTCAGTTGACTCTGTGTTAAGTTCTGAACAACATTGCTTCAAAATGTCATAACAAAATGTTCATCAGGGAAAAGGTACAAAATTTAACCTTCACCTTTGACCAAGTGACCTTGACCTTGGTCAGTTGACTCCTTGTTTTATTCTGATCAACTTTGCTTCATAATGTCATAACAAAATGTTCATCAGTGAAAAGATGTAAAATTTGACCTTGACATTTGAATGTAATGACCTTGACCTTCAACCTTGACTTTTTACCTCAATGTGTATTTTTGTGAACTGAACATCTTAACCAAGTTTCATGTACATCGGTCAATAAATACCAAAGTTATCAGCCAGGAACAAAATTTGTGGACGGACAGACAGAAAGACAGACAGACAGAGTGATTACTATAGGGCACCCGTATCTCCGATACGGGGACCTAATAAATCTGTTCTATGTTATATTCACTCGAGTGTACTTACTGATATTGTTAATATGTAAAATGGCCTTGTGTTTAATTGGCCCTTTTGTTGAAGGGTAAAAACAGAAGCGGCAATCACTTTTTTTATTTTACAGTATTAGAAAGATTTTAATTTGTCTTTTTCAGTTAAAACATTAAGTACTGTCTAGATCTTCACAAACTATACTGATGCAATGACTTAGCAAAAAAAACAAAAACTTCAATATTATATCTTACCGAGAAATGGCAGCTTTTTCTCTAGTTTATGAGCACTAGCTTCGGCAGAGAACTCCTTCACCAACTAAACAAAGCAGGACAAACATAAGCCATCAATGACACATTAAATAATACCTTTACTTGGACACTCGTGAAACTGTAATAACCCCTCTCTATATTGTTTTGATAATTTAACAATCAAATTACACCGTAGTTTGGTATTGTTAGAATCTCATTGCATCATAGTGTTGATACGGTTAAAACTTTTATTTCATCATAGTTTCATATGTATACATGTATTTTTTTCCGATTTCACTTTGACATTCCATCAATAACATCATCATTGTTTTTACAAAGCTTTATTTCATATTCTATTATTTTGCTTCATGCACCATTTGATTTGAATGACAAGTTGTTCAATTTCCTTCTTTAACTATACATAAGTGAATATCTAGAAAACCCCATAACCCCTTTATTCCAAAATGAGACGTTCGTTATCTTTGATTAATATTTGTCCGTAATGGTAGAAGGGTAGTATACGTACCTTGGCCTGGAATTCGCGCAGCTCCTGATAGGTCTTGCTTACTGTACTAGTCTCACCATTACTCCAGGTGACCTATATATAGATTTCAGAAAACATACAGTCATGTATTTCTGCAGAAAACAAAAGTGAAAGTAGACAGATACATGATATATCTGGCAAATAGTGTGAGTATACACTGAATGTTGTACCTAGTGCCATTTCTATACTAACAGAGGTATTCTATGTTATAACAAGTATACAACCTGTTCCAGTGTGAATGTATCTCCCAAAATAAACTGTTTTAAGTATTTTGTATAAAGTGCACTGAGATTCAACAAGTTTTCCAATGTGACACATGCATGTTCAAATTTTATGAGATTGAAGTAAATATTGATTGAAAGCATCATGTAAATACACTGACATTCAAATCACATCTTTAGAAAAGAATGTAGATAATGTTAACTGGGACTTGTCTAATGAAACAACTAAAGTACACATTCAGTCCTACAGAATGGTAGCTTAGTGTAACATTTCAACAAGTTGTTGATAACGAAAGAATATACACACCTGTAACTAAATTCATGTTTATTTCTTCTAGAAGGATACATACAATGTACCTGTAACTGATCAATTTCTTGGTATTTGTGTTTTCTCAAAGAATATGTACCTGTAATTGATATTTGTATTCTGAAACTTGCGGGGCGCACAACTGTTTCAGTTATCTTAAGTTTTCTCAAAGAATGTGCACCTGTAACCATTATTCATTTCCTGGAAAGGCACCTACCTGTAACCGATATTCATGTTTTCTGTCATGGCGTCGGTGCCCTTTGTCTTGTTTCACGTCTATGTTACAGATGTGGACTGTGGAAGAGATAAAACAAATAAATGTTGTTCATACATGATTCAACTGAAAATTGACACATTACAAATATTTACATGATCATAGTTGTTTTCATTTTTTTTTTTTTTTTACATATTTTGATTTACAAAACATATATGCAAAGCATGGTTATATTGGGATGTCCCTTATTGGACCATACATAGACTAAACAATATCTACGAGTCCGAGACATTAATGCCCTTGATGTACATTTCATTATTAAATAAATAAAAAAATCTATTTGTAACATTGAAAGTGACCTGATCTTTGACTTTGTATCCTGAAACATACATAGATGTGTCAAATGTATCACGTCAGCACTAACTGCCTTCAAACGTAACTGAAAATATAGACAGTAGATCTAGGTTGATGGCAGACATTTTTTATTTAGAATACAGTGACCTTGGGCTCTGGACTGGATATGCAAAGCTATTCAAGGTATTTTAGTAATGAATAATTGTTTGAATAATCATCAAAATAGAGTACAGAATGATAAATCAGCTATATCTATTGTAAGTGACCTTGACCTTGTGCACAGGACCCTGAAATGGGAACACTTTAAAGGCGTTTTAGTACTGAACACTTGAGTAAAACTTCAGTTACATGTAAATCATGTGTGAAACATGGAGGAATGTGAAATTCACTTAATCGTAAAATTCACTGTAACATTCCATGCATAAGGCACATTTTGTGACATTACAAAAACACTATACACAGTAAGCTAATTACAGGCAATGACTGTAAATAAATCACAGGATGAAGTGAAATGTTGTAGTTTCTGGTGACATTTGTTAGATACTAGATGTCTATACTGTATATCATTTATTCCTGCATCTATTATGTAAATAAACCTACTGTACAGCTTTATTGTATTTCATTCTACACACAATGTGGTACTAAACCTGTATAATGATAAAGGAATAATCCATCATAATTATAAGTCTATATTACCTTAGTTACTCCATTTGGTAACATAAGGACATGAGGATCATCTGTAACATTTAGACATTAATGTTTTCCTCCATAAAGTTTAATCATATTTCTATGTTGAGGTGTGCCCAGAGGTGTACAATTCCACTAACCCAGGGCTTGTTAATTTTATGCTGGGGCTAGAGAAAGCTTCAACATTTACTATGAAAAAGATAGGTTGGGCTAGTTGAATTTTTCAAAACAAATGTGCTGACTAGTACTCTGAATGTGAAATGTACATCCCTTTGTGCATCACTGACTTGTTAATTCAATTTCATATATTCAGGCATTTTAACATTTCTTGTTGCAAGAAAAGCAGGAAAACAACTATTGATCTTTAATTTCTATTCAGAGAAAACCTCTTTTTTATACTTTTTTTTGTGTGGCATAAACACTGTATAAATTTCAATTTCGAAGCAAAGAAGATTTTTTGAATTACCATGTTTATATCTTATTCTGGATCAAATGCTTTTCCACTCAACAAAACACACTGTATACATGCTTGCAATATTGAGTACTTATTTTGTATAGTTCTAGGTATTGGATGACGTGGACCTAAATATAAAGTTATATTTTCAGTAAACATTATATGAAGTTGCAACATTTCTTTATTTAAATTTTGACAAAAATAGCTTTATCACTGAATAACAAGGTTACCCTGCTATTAGAATTTGTCACGATTTCTGTACTCTCCTACTGTGTGTCACAACGGCTGTCACAATAGATGTATAGGTACACGTACACCTGCCTACACTATAGAATTACAAAACACCCCTGGTAAATACAGGTAAAATAACTACAGGTAGACTTGCTCATCGTTCATTTAAGGAGGGGCCCCTTCTTATGAACATATGTATACATGTATACTACGTCTGCTGTAAGATGTAGGAGAACTGTTATAACGAGGACCTGTTGTAGTTTTTTGTCACATCATGAAAATTTGCATATGTGTTTTTCATGTACTAGAGGTAGTCCACCCTCTAAGAATTTCCAGCATATCCCCTTAAATGACCTTCCTTTTATCACGAAACCAGGATATCAAGGATTGTTTTCCCATTACACAAGTCGATTTTGTTAGTTTATCATTTAATCTCCATTTCATATTGATTATGTTTGGCCTCAAGTTAATTAAAAGTTGCATGTGGTCAGTGCAGGCACATAAAAGATATTATCAGATGATTATTGGAAAACAAATTGATTTATACACGATAATGAGGCCAAGATCTCCAGCTAGGAATAAATAATAAATGGGTATGGTCAAATATTCCAATACAGGTTCCACAATGTAAAATGTGTGTTGTGTAATAAGGTACTAATTATACATCAGGTGCAAAATTAAAACCACATCAGTTAGTTGTCTATGCCCAAAATAGAAATTTTTCTATATGGAAAATCGTAATATTCATGTTAAAGTTACTGATTACTGTAAGTTACTGGGTGTTCGTACACACATTTTGACAAGTATACTCGCAGGAGGATACACAATAACGTAATATATGACTCTTGTCAATGCATGGAAATATCTTTATTAATAACAAATAAAAGAGACGGACATATTTTCATATGAATGCCCGCACAGAAAGTTTTCTTATCACGAAGTCTGATCTACCTAATTTGATAAGTCTATGTTGGAATCTGTGCTGAAACCTACTTCAATGAACATTTACTAGAAGAAATGCATTTCTAGACTCAGATTTTAAGAAGTAATCTTTCAATGGAAAAATTGACAGATGACAGACAAATGGTGACACAAAAATGTATGAAACAGCCATTCATTTTTTAATCATTGATCAAAAAGTTTGTATAGGGCCTATGTGTTTATGATACAGTATGACAATATCTAAAATTCATCTTATATATTAACATACATGTATTCATGTGTCTAAATACACAAATTTGATAGATTTCATAGAGAAGAATGTACCAACACATCAAAATGCTAAGATAAGATTTAAATATATCTGAATAATTCAGACAGCTTATCTGTAGCGTAACATACATTGTACTTCCTATTACATATATACACTTCAATAGTGAATGGTGGTCATTATCATGTGGTAGCTAGAGATAAGCTTGGACATGTCAAGACTATAGCTATCAAACAGAATTGCTCCACCCAATATATTTTGTCTAGTTCTGTTCAATGATTTATAAATACAAGCCATTTAGATTGATATGTCTCGCCTGTGCCCCTCTTTGACCATCAATGCACATATCAAAGAAACTAACTTAAATGCAAAAACTTAATGTTGATGGAAATCATGCTGACAGTCAATGGACCATGAAAGGTAGGCCGCTTCCAGCATTTGATGCATGGGCTGAGATGTACTTCCTAGCTAAGATGCATCAATGGTCAAAGTTTGGTGGTGTGGTACTTATATTTTCAGAGAAACTAACTTAAACACAAAAACTTGATGTTGACATTGCCGTTGCCGCCGTTTGTAAGGTAAAGATGTTAGGATGAGGGACATAAGATGACAGGGATTGTAGCCGGGTACTTATCTCTATGTTTGTGAGGTAAAGATGTTAGATGAGGGACATAAGATGACAGGGATTGTAGCTGGGTACTTATCTCAAAGTTTGTGAGGTAAAAATGTTAGGATGAGGGACATGAGATGACAGGGATTGTAGCTGGGTACTTATCTCTATGTTTGTGAGGTAAAGATGTTAGGATGAGGGACAAGAGATGACAGGGATTGTAGCCGAGTACTTAACTCTATGTTTGTGAGGTAAAGATGTTAGGATGAGGGACATGAGATGACAGGGTTGTAGCCAGGTGCTTATCCCTATGTTTGTGAGGTCAAGATGTTAGGATGAGGTACATGAGATGACAGGGGTGTAGCCGGGTACTTCTCTATGCTTGTGAGGTAAAGATGCAAGGATGAGGGACATGAAATGACATGGTTGTAGCCGGGTACATCTCTATTTGTTTGTGAGGGAAAGATGTAAGGATGAGAGACATGAAATGACAGGGATTGTAGCCGAGTACTTAGCTCTATGTTTGTGAGGGAAAGATGTAAGGATGAGAGACATGAAATGACAGGGTTGTAGCCAGGTACTTATCTCTATGTTTGGGGGGAAAAGATGTTAGATGAGGGGCATGAGATGTCAGGGTTGTAGCCAGGTACTTATCTCTATGATTGTGAGGTAAAGATGTTAGATGAGGTACATGAGATGACAGGGATGTAGCCGGGTACTTCTCTATGCTTGTGAGGTAAAGATGTAAGGATGAGAGACATGAAATGACAGGGTTGTAGACGGGTACATATCTATTTGTTTGGGAGGTAAAGATGTTAGATGAGGGGCATGAGATGTCAGGGTTGTAGCCAGGTACTTATCTCTATGTTTGTGAGGTAAAGATGTAAGGATGAGGGACATGAAATGACAGGGTTGTAGCCGGGTACTTCTCTATGTTTGTGAGGTAAAGATGTAAGGATGAGGGACATGAGATGACAGGGTTGTAGCCGGGTACATATCTATTTGTTTGTGAGGTAAAGATGTTAGGATGAGGGACATGAGATGACAGGGTTGTAGCCGGGTACTTCTCTATGTTTGTGAGGTAAAGATGTTAGGGTGAGGGACATGAAATGACAGGGATTGTAGCCGAGTACTTATCTCTATGTTTGTGAGGGAAAGATGTAAGGATGAGGGACATGAGATGACAGGGTTGTAGCCGGGTCCTTATCTCTATGTTTGTGAGGTAAAGATGTTAGGATGAGGGACATGAAATGACAGGGATTGTAGCCGAGTACTTATCTCTATGTTTGTGAGGTAAAGATGTAAGGATGAGGGACATGAAATGACAGGGATTGTAGCCGAATACTTATCTCTATGTTTGTGAGGTAAAGATGTTAGGATGATGGACAAGAGATGACAGGGTTGTAGCCAGGTACTTATCTCTATGTTTGTGAGGTAAAGATGTTAGGATGAGGGACAAGAGATGACAGGGTTTGTAGTCTAGTATTTTATCTTTATGTGAACTGAAAGGGTTAGACTAAGGGACTGGAGTTTATAGGGGCTGTAGTCTAGATCTAGTATTTATCTTGATGGAAATTCAAGATAAAGATGTTATACTACGGTACCAGAGTTCAAAATGAAAGAATGGGGGAAAGGAGTTTACAGGAGTTGTAGACGAGTACTTACCTTTATGTGTGAGGTGAATATGTTAGGATGGTGGACAGGTGTTGACAGAGGTTGTAGTGTACTATTTATTTTTATGTAAATTTGATATCAAAATGTTATTAGGCTGGTGGAAAAGAGTTGACAGGGGTTGTAATCAAGTATTTATCATAAAGTTAATGATTGTGAGGTGAAAATGTTAGGATGGGGGCATGACTTAACAGCGGTCAGCAGCACTTACCTTTGTGTTTGTGAGGTGAAGGTGCTGGGATTGGGGGACTGGAGTTGACAGGAGGTGTAGTGGAGCAGTTACAGGCCCTGGGTATCATAGGACCCTGCAGCATGTGACCGGTTGCCATGGCAACTGTACTTGTTGTTGAAGTACTTGTTGCTGCACTGGCTTCAGTCTCAATGTTGGACTGTAAAAAAAAGTGAAGATATATATTTAGACTACAAAAATTGTACATGTACATAGGAACTGGTTGACAGGTATGGACATTCAACATTAACCAATGCATACCATTTTTGACTGCAATAAAAGCCCTCTCCTCATGATCACTTTGGCATATATATCTTAGAATTGGATGGGTGCCAGCAATTACTAACAGGCTACTCTCACCTCTATTTTATTCTCGCAGAAAATCCATGGATGTTCTAATTAGTCAGAGAATTAGGCCCATTAGTAACTAATAGCTAGTAATGTATACTCCAGTCTGTTGATTCTACTCTGAATAAATTACAGGACCTAGGAAACACATACTAGACATAGAGTCACAATTTATGAATTTAATGTGGAAATCAAGATTTGCCAACAGATGAATTGTTTACAAATCTGTCATCTGGAAAATATACGTATTAAATATTATTTTTGATAAATTAAGCAAAACTTTGTAAAAATGAATAAAACAGATCATATTTTGAACAGTCAACTTTTAGTTCTTTTCTTTGGTATGTACGGTATATGTACATGCATACAATAATAATTTGTACCGATACATTTTGTATTCATGAGACTTGTAGAGATCATAAGTGTAATATACACAGGACATCAACTTGCATGCCCATATAATCAAGTATATACATGAACTAAACCACATGTACCTGGGGATGGGTATACCTATATAGCTAATGAACAATAAATTAACCCTTTCAGCCCTATGTAACTTTAGTAGACTCTACCATGCATTGATATGGATGAGTCCATTAATATGGTTTACAGTGGTGAAAGGGTAAATGAAGGTTTTCTCTTGTGGAGTTCTTTATCTTCATTCACAAGGTCAAAATATATCAACTTAACAGACCGTCTCTTAATATTTCCATATATACAATATTCATGTTTATCTATATATATCATATACATATAACCCCATTCCAGTTTCCATTAACTAATTCACCCCTGAAATTTCACAATGAACGATTCCAACCTGTGAGCTGGAAGAATTCAAATGTGTCTACAGGGGTGATTGATGAATTAAAAGAAGTTGACCCTACTGACCCATTATAAACTCCAGCAATATGCAGAGTTCAGGTTCAAGGTTACAAATAAAACTTGACACTTGCTGCTGTATTATAATCAGTAAACAGAGCATCTAGAGTGTAGGCCTAACAGGTAATGTACAATGGGTATAACTGGCATATATATATACCAATCTAGTGTACTTCGTGACGTCACGTTACTATTGTAGTGTGATGACATGCAATTGTGACGTCACGACGTTGTTCTTTTAAATAAACCTGAAGAGCCCTGTGAAGGGTGAAAGCAGCTAGTTTTTTAGTCGGTCGATAATCTTATTTTTTCTATATTTGCTTCCTTCACATGGACATTTAATCCCTTTTCATTATATATATATATATATATACATGACCACCAAATATAATGCTAGGCACACATGAACACCTACAGTAAAGCTGTATGTGTTTTTGTCATATTATATAGATGGGAACTTGAAAGCTATTCAAATATCATTACTAATAATAATATGTATGGGAAGGTGAAAGTTAAGTGGTGTGTTGAGCCACCTCAAAGTCAAGCTATCTCTCACTCTAGACATACAGTTTGTATAGGTATATATCTTTAATTTCTGCTTATATTTTTTATGAAGAAGGAACCTCTTTAAACATCACATACCATACTTGTGATAGTGCTGGACCCAATTGGGAATTAATTATAAGCTATTAAATGTCATTATAAATGTCAAGATAAGAAATGTAAAGCCATATAAACATCACATACCTTATTACTTGCTCATCATTACACGAGTCGGTAACTAATTATAAGCTGATCCAACATTTTAATGTACAGTCGTCTACAGAGATAGTTTCGAGGTAAAACTATTTAAACATAAATATTACATACTTTCCTACTGTTCATCATACATGTACATGTATAAGTGATCAGAAACTAATATATATAACAAGCTATCCATTACAATTATATAGAGATAGCAATTAGGTAGCAAAATCTATTTTAAAACTACATATCATCAAATACAACTACTTAACAGTAAGGAAACTATGTGTATATATATACACATGCATCTGAAGCTTTTTGTAAATAAGCTATTACATTATTTGAATGACTACATCAGTATACATGCACATCCATTGCGGAAGTCTTCCTGAAGATCTGATCAAAATACTTAAATAGTACATTCCGCTTTATATCCCTTGTAATAATTTGTCAGAGGAAAAGGGTCATATTATGGAAAACATGATAAAAAGATATTTTTTCAGATATTTTGCAGCTGCCAAAAAAATTTAAGTGGCCATCTATAATCCTAAATGTAATTGAGGTTTTTCTGAGAAGAATTCTTCTTCATAAAGACAAAACCCCTCCATTATTTGTTTTCATATATACTGTCTTTATTACTCTTTTTTTCCATGACATAAATTTTGTTCAATACAATTTGCTTGGACAGAATATTAATCCTGATCATTTGTATGTATAACTATTCATAAATGAAGCCATGCTGGCAGCATTATACAATTTTACATATTATTCCAGTGTTTCTAACCAAGCCACATTACAAGTAACTAGCCAGGCAGTGTTTCTAACCTGACATATAACGCAATTTTGCGTCGTTTGCTGTTGTCAAAATTTTACCTCCTGTGAAGCTAGTTTTTCATGTACGTGTAGGCACCCTTTCCGATTATGGCCAAAATTTTATTCTCGAACCATTTTTTTAAAAAAAAAAATCACATAGCCCACTTCATCATGCTTATACCAATTTTAGTACAGTTTTATTTTTGTATTTTTTTTACAAATCATTATACAGGGGTTAGCCATTTAACAAAAATATCACCCATGGCCACAACCCTCTACTGTATACTGCTACCTATAATGTTGATAGCTCAGAAGAGTTTAATTACTAACTAGGTATAGGGTTACACTCACTCAGCAGCAAGTATATTAATATATTAACTCAGCAGGGTTACTAAACCAGGTGGTATTGCTATAACCTGACAGTGTTATAATTTACTATCCCTCAACCGTGTAACTAATCGTTTTGTGAAATTGCAATTTATAAGGTGTACTGTTATTTTTCCGCTGCAGTATACATGTACATGTTACCAACACTGGCAAGCAACAGGTATGTGACAATATAATCACATCTGATGGCTTAGATGTGTGTACACAAATTTTCTCTACAGAGAATGCAATATCCATTCCGTCATGCAATGAAATTGCACATATATCAGCTGCCAGCCAGGCCTGCTTGTGTTCGGTAACAATATTGCAGGGCACGCAGCAATTGCAACTCAAACTGAAGAACATCACAAATAGTTTATTATCACCGACACCTCAACACACCAGTGATCTATAGTATGATTGACAAAACAGGGATTTCCCAATACTGTATACCAGTAAGTCATATATACCATACAACACAGACATTATCTATAGACACTCCTATGGCTTGTTCATACATGTACTGGCCATGGCCTTTACAAACCCCCCTTTCTCTCTTCCGTTTCAGTACTTGTTTTGGCACTTTTATCAACATTTCTATCAACATAAATAAGTACATGTACGTATCGTACATCAATTATATTAAACTTTTATTTCTTCTTTATTGCCAGGGACATCAGATGGCTTGAAAATTTGTCAGTGAAGTTTCAACAGACTGTGTAAAATTGCCCCCTTCCCACCAGCCCACTACGTGTATACCTAGCTAGCCCCCTGGAAGGGCATGCATGATCCCCATTTGAACAACTTCAGTTCTCGATCTCCTAAACCAAATTGGTCCCCGTGCATGTGGTTCAGTTGAAAACCACACATTGGTTCATGAGAAAAAGTTATAAGCATCAAAATGTTGATGGATGATTCATGACAAACGTTTACATTTTATTGGAAAAACAACGGACTGTGCTTTGGCTCATGTACAGATGACATTTAATTATATAATAGACAAATATCCTTTGACAGCCCCCGGTGTTTGTGGTTCCATGCATGGTCAATGCAAGTGGTCAGTCTAGCATTTCTATTTGTCTCTAAGTATTAGACATATCATCTCAAAATTGAAATAGACCGGTACGTTATACATAAGAAGATGAATTTCATACATTTTAGTATTGAAATGTCCTGTATTGATAGACTTAAAAACTTGCATATTCCAAACCCCAGTATGTTAAAGTAATCAGAAAAATTGCCATCAAAATGTACAAAAGAAATATTAAATCTATTGATCATAAAGTACAACTGTATTTAAAAATGTTTTAAAAAGAAATTAAAGGGACCGATGTTTTGAAATGATGTTATTATATATATTTACCTTTAATGCACCACCGCCTTTTTAATCTACCTGGTAATTCTATTATAGTGCTGTCTGTTTATATTACCTGCTTGTATACATGTATGTCTGAGCTGTAATACATAATAATGCACTGAATCTAACGCAGTTCTAGTCATGATTGGCTACAAACTCGTAGTAATAAAGACCTTGAACTAGACTGCCCATAAATATACATTGTATACTATATTTAATACAATTTGATGTGCTACTTAACTTATCATTATATTATGTTTGAACGTTGCAGGTAGCAGTCATCCTTTAGAATAACCCTTTCGTTGCTAAACTGGCCGAAACCGGCCGCAATCGTATAGTGCTAATCTGGCCGAAACCGGCCGTGTACAGCGTCCCTGCGTTGCTACCTAACCAAGCGGAAATAGGCGTCATTATCGTCAAGAGTTTTTGTGACTATGATCGGCTGTTATTTCCGGTTTACAACCGAGTAAAAGCCTGCAGGAATTTCGGAGTAAAACAGAAGTTTTTACAGTTTTTCCGATGAAATTTCAAACTTCGTCAATGAAACATTGAGTCGTCGGATGAGTCTGACTTTGATGGTTTTGACGAGCACAATATCGACGAGGCAAACACAAGATTCATATCAAAACAACATGAACTTTAGCAGGCCTACA